TCGCACACACTCACTTACTCACGCACACACTCACTCACTCACTCACGTAAGCAAAAGCTTTTTTGCCGTTATAGTGATTCACGTCTTTGCCGGAAAACACAGAAGGTTTCCGCGAAGCAAACCGGTGATGAGCTGACGAGGCTATAAACGATGGCAGCGGTGACGGCCTTCAATTGCGGCGAAATCGAAATGACAGGAAATTGAGCTCACATTCGAACCGCTCGCTCAGGAGTTTGGTGGTTTGATCGCTCGGTTTCCAGCCTCTAAATCATCTTTTCCACTGCCTGGTGTAAATGGATTTTGGGGGGGATGGGGTGGGGGGGGTGTGGGGGTTGGGGTGGGGGGTGTGGGGGGTGTTGAGAAGGGGTTTGAATGCTGTTTTCATACAGTGCGTTCCCTCTTTCTCTCTCTCTCTCTCTCTCTCGTGATCTGACAGAGTGCCCCAGACCTCGTCTATGGCTCAGTCCGTAGCCGCCTCTGAGTCAGAAGTTTATGGGTTCAAACCCCCACACGTTGGGACTGTTATATTCACACACACACACACACACACACACAAAGGCTGTCGCTTCAATATAGTGCTGTGGGGGGGGTTGGGGTGGGGTGGTGTGGGGGGTGGGGGGCCGCTGTATTGGAGACGCTTTGCTCCGAATGGGACATGAAGTTCGAATCCCGTCCGGACTCATTCGGGCGGAGGTTAAAGATTTCTCGATTGGAAACGCGGAGGGGGGGCCATCAAGGCGAGTTTGATTCCTGAGCGACGGGTGGGGAGGGAGCGGGTGGGGGGGGTGTACAGGGTGCCGGGCGGGCGGGTGGGTGGTTTGTGGGGTGCGGGGGTTCAAAAAGGAAAGGCAGACGGGCTGGGCGGTGCGGATCAATGAGAAGAGCAAAGCCGCCCTCGCAAGCGGAAAGCCACTCCACTTTACAAAAAGCCCAACCACAGAGCGTTCATTCTGTTGAACGTCAAAGACCGAAAGAAAAAGAGAGAAAAAGAGGAAATCCGCGTCCGAACATTCGAAACGTCTGCCAATAAAACGCGGATGAATTGTTTCTTGTGAGAAAATATTTCGGCATGAATCAAACCGAATGAAATCCCCCCCCCAAAAGATTATTCATCAAAAGCCTCCTTTTAAAAAAAAAAGGGCGAGTGGGGAGAGGGAAGTGCGGGGGTGGGGGTGGGGGGGTTGGGGGAGCGAAGAGAAGGGCTGTATTCATTTCCTCGCTGGCCAGCCGCATTCCTCGACCCGTCCCATCTCGTTGCTACACCGACGTCCCCGGGCGGAGACGGTCAAGACAGTTTGGCAATCAGTCTCCGACCGCAATCTGCGGTCTGGCAGCCGTCCTCTCGTGTGAGAACGCAATGTGTGCGTCTCTCAGTCCAAGGCGCGGAGCAGAGCACAGGGGCTCATTATACAAAACGTACTTTACAGTCACTCCGCTTGACGCTGTGCGTGGGAGGGGGGTGTGGGGGGTGGGGGGTGAACCAGCGCTGCTGTGCGCAATTGGCTGCCCAGCGTTAAGCCCACAAAATACACATCACTTTACCGTATATTCCGTGAAGCGCTTTCAGACGTCTTGAAGACGTGATAAGGCGCTGTATCGAATGCAAGGATTATTATTATTATTATTAAGAATAAGAGGTGGGTGGGGGTGGGGTGGGGGGGGGAGTGGGGGGGAGGGAGAGGGAGGAGGGGACCATCAGCGTGGTCGAAGAGGAAGGTCTTCAGTCGTGATCCGAACCAGGGTCTCCTGATGACGGGAAACGGGGCTCGAAAAACAACTCAAATGGCTCCAGAAATTAGACTAATGGGACCTGAAGCCTTTTCTAGTCGAGGGCGAGTGAGTCGGAGAGACGTGGAAGGAAGGAAAATGGCTGGGGGTTTGAACGCGGGACCCCGCATTAAGGGACGAGGTAGGGCCAGCCCTCTATATAATCTTTCTGCGCTCTCAGTCAGGCCCGAGACCGAGCACAAGGCATTGGACGGATAGACAAGACGCGTACAGGCACGCGCACGCACGCGCACCCGGGCAAGACACACTCACAGGAACACGCAAGCACGCGTGCACCCCGACACCGCGACAACAGGGCAGAGTGAAGCCCTTCCAACGCGCGTGTCCTGACACGCCCGGGCGGCGGTGTGCGGCAAGCGGGCGTGGGAGCAGGCGGTGGGGGGGGAGCTGTGTTGGCACGAGATCGAGGGTCCAGACGCACGGTGCGATGCGCGGCGAGGCGCGGCCAGCCAATCGGGACAGCGTCGGACGAGAGGCAATGAGAAGGGACGAGGCATTTTGACATCGACGACGTTCACGCTCCTCTCCCATCGTCTCGGGCTTCTGGAGCGATTGGCCTCCCTCCCCCTTGACTGAGCACCGAATGCAGCGTTGGATCTCTCGCCTGTTTTTCCGCTCCCCCTACACCCCCAAAAAAAAATCCTCTCATTGAAGGTCCCAACCTTTAAATACCGCCTGTGCTCTTGTCTACACAGATGTCCAGTCACCACACGTTACAGTAATCGCTGCGGGAAAGGCTCTGCGTCAATTGCAAGGATTGTTATTAACGGCGACGATAATTATTGCGATCACAACAATATAACGACGATAATTATTGTTATTAATATCGGAAACTTCTTCAATTCAGCAATTCATTTGCAACCCGCGCCCGTGTGGGGCGGAACCGACGATCGAAGGGCGTTCTGACGAAAGGCTATTGACCTGAAGACCTTGAGTCACTTTCCTCTCTCCATAGATGCTGCCTGACCTGCTGCGTGTTTCCCAGCGACGTCCGTGTTCACAGTGAAAAGAAGCCGTTGAGAGATGAGGTTGTTTGATGCTCTTTGAGTTGTCGCTATATCCCATTCATTCCCACCGCCCACCCCACCCCCCAACCCCCCCCCAACCCACCCCAACCCCCCCCCACAACCCCTCCTCCTCTCCCAATTATTTCCATTTGGGATCTCCGTGCGCTTGTTCCCTTCGGCTAACTCTGCACCCGTGGGCCACCCCTATAGAAACAAACAGCTCCGAGCTCAACAAGAAGACATTGTGTAGTGCGTGGACTGAGGTCAGAGATCACCACTCACTCCAGCTTCCCATCTTTAGCTCCGGGGATGGAGAGCCACCGTCAGACGGTAGGTCACACCAGGTCACTTGCTCCCGAGTCGCAGAAAGGTGCTCATTGCCGGCGTGTTTAATCCATTAAAACCTGGTTTGATCCTCAGCTTCCCCCCCCTCCTCCCCCTCCTCGCTTCCTCGAGACACAACCTTGGCTCCCAACCGCTCACCGTTAAGGACACAGAAAGTTAATCACAATAATATTAATGATAATCCTTGCATTTGATACAGCGCCTTATCGCGTCGTCGAGACGTTCTCAAAGAGCTTCACCCAGTGGACTGTAAAGTGGAGTGACTGCGTATTTTGCGGGAGAAACACGACAGCTAAGTGCCCCCGGTGTGGAGAAACTTCCTTCCTTTCTTCCTTTCAGCGCCTTGGGACGTCCTCCCGACGTGAAAGGCGCTCTATAAATGGAATATTGTTGTTGTTGTTGTTGTTCCCTTTGCAAACAGCTCCAAAGGGATCGTTAACATCCACCTGAACGGACACAGACGAGGAACTTAATATCACGTCCTCGCTCTCCTACGCCTGCCCCAACCTCAGCGCCAACCCTGGAGCATCAGCCTAAAGCACAAAAACACCCCCCTCGCCCACCCCCCACGACTCCCTTCCCACCAACACCCCCACCCCCGCCCGCCCGCCCGCCCGCCCCGACCCCCACAGCTGAGCCAGGCTGACGTCTCTATTACCACGACCTCAGCTTCCGGCGGCGAAGTCGTTAATGAGTGCCGCGCAAAATGGCTTGAGGTTATTTTCTGGGCCACAAAAACGTGGCTTGTGATGTGCGGACACTGGCTTTTGTTTTTGCACAGTGGCGAGTGTGTGTGTGGGACGGATTCGTTTGGGAGCCTGGGGGATGGGAGGGGCGAATAACATGGGGCCTTTTATATCTGGGTGGGGGCAAACAGTGGATCCAGTGAAGGGCTGATCAGATGTTCGAGAACCCCCCACACTCGATCATTGTTCAGAGAGGACACTCTGCACCTCAAGCATATTTGACGGCACCCATCATCCTCCGGGCCCGGCAGAGCTGAATCTACCCTGTGACTCGGTCTCGCTCCAGTCTCGTGCTCTCATGCGCTCAACCTTAGGTAAGCCACGTCAGCCCTTCATAGAACTTCCCCCCAAACTGTTCGCCCGCGAAACAAACCCACGGTCACTGCACTTTGCCGTGAATCCTGCGCACGGGCTTTGAGACGTTCTTTCCTGACGTCGAAGGCGCGAGCGGCGAGGGCACGATGGGAGGAGAGAAAGAGAGAGAGAGAGAGAGAGAGAGAGAGAGCGCGCGGGGAATAAGGGGGTTAAAGTAGAGAGCTCCAGTGGGGGAGCGCAGACACGATGGGGAGAGAGACAGCGGGGGAAAACAATAATAATCCTCGCATTTGATCAAACCCTCGTCACGTCGTTGGGACGTCTCAAAGCGCTTCGCAGGACACACTGCAAAGTGGAGTGACTGTGTATCTTTGTGGGCGAAACGCGGCAGCCGGTTGCGCACAGCAGCGTCCCCGCAAACAGCCGTGGATTACTAATTTATTTATATATTGATGGGGGGTTAGAGAACTCCAGCACAGACGCAAGGTGGTGGAGTGGGGTGGAGGTGGGGAAGGGAAGAGAAAGCAGGGGAATGGGGTTAAGACTGGAGAGAGCGCTCCAGTGTGTGTGTGTGTGTGTCTCCTCTCTCTATGTGTGTATATATATATATATATATATGCAACAACAAGTTGATCTGAGAATAAAACTTCGTTGACTGCAATTGGTTGCAAGTCAGTATTGGATTCCCTTTGGCTGCTTTGATGTGTGTCTGTGTCTGTGTGTTGGAGATCATAAGAGACTTGAGACCTGGGACTCACTGGGGAGTGAGTGTGTGTGTGGTGTGTGGTGTGTCTGTGTGTGTGTGTGTGTGTGTGAAACAAAAGGGGTTGTCAGAACAAAATCACCAGCTGGTGGCAAACTTTGGTACAGACTTAAAGAGGGGAAGGTTGGAGAAAGTGCAGTAATCTCTCTCTCTCTCTCTCTCTCTCACTCACTCACTCACTCACTGTTTGGTGGCTGCAATCTCCACTCAACTTATTTCTCAACACTTTTTTTCTCTCCCCCCTATTGCTGCAAATTTTGTTTTAACTGTGGATGTGTGTGTGTGTGTGATAGCATCTTGCAGCAGTTGTGCTAAGTTGGGGGAAAATATTCTCTCTTACCCCCCCCCACCCCACCCAACCCCCTTTCTCTTCCCTCCCCTCTCACTCAAACCTCTGTCAACCCCCCACCCCCCCTCCCACCACCACCTCTCTATCTCTTTCTACTCCCTCCCTCCTCCACACACACACCACACACACACACATATATATATATATAAAACACTCCTTTGCTCAGTGAATGCCCACTCTTGGAAGGATGATGAATCGCAAGGGGATGGTGACAACGATATTGTCCCGAATAAGAACCGACTCGTTCAACAGCAACTACACTCTTCTGGGGAAAGAGCTCGGAAGGTAAGGGTTAACTTGTCTCAAAGCTGTTCCCGTGGAGCTGGTAATAATAATAATAATAATAATAATAATAATAATAATAATAATAATCCTCGCGTTCGATACAGCGCCTTATCACGTCTTCGGGAGAGTATTTACGGGCGAAACACGACAGTCATTTCAATACTTTATACCTCTGTGTTTGCAACTGATTGTTGGCTGAGCAGCACCTGACCATTGCTTTTTGGGGGGGTGGTGGGGAGGGTGGGGAGGGTGGGGGGGGGGGAGAGAATTCCCAGTCAATATTTGCTCAGCTGCTCTGTGTATTTCGCTGCGAGTTTTTGTGTTCCGTCTCTTGTAAAGCAGCGAAGCCGAGAGCGGGCACTTACGGCGGGAGGTTTATAACGGCAATAACAACCCTTGTGTTTGATGCAGAGCCTCGTCAACGTCTCTGAGACGTGTCGAAGCGCTTCACGGGGTATAAGTGGAGTGACTGTGTGTCTTGCGTACAAAAGCGCGGCAGCCAACTGCACGCAGCAGTGTCCCGCAAACAGTCGTGGGTGGATTGAGTGATTATATATCATATTATTATTAGATTTAAGGGATTATTTGAAGGTTTGAGCTCAGTTAACTCAAGTCAGATTGGGCTGAGTTGAAGGCATCTTACTGAGGGCAGAATGCCCTGTCAGGATTTTTCTTAAACCTTTATTTTTTTTCCCCCCCCCTGAGAGCGTCCGGCGAAGCCTGAGGAGAAATCCCAGCTCTGCACTTCTGCGTTTAACGAGAGGGGGGGGGGTGGTGAAGGGTAGAGTTAGCGACGTCTCGTAAGCGGGTCTTTTGTGATAAATTAGCACGCGAAACCTGAGAAACACAGGAGCAGGAGGAGGCCATCCAGCCCTTCCAGCCTGTTCCGCCATTCTGTAAGGTCACGGCTGATCTGCACCTCAACTCCAATTACCCCCCACCCCCCCCCCCCCCCCCCCCTCCACCCCTTGCCTTGTAATCCCTTGATACCCTGTCCTAACAAATGCATCGTGAAATGCATCCTGGAATTTCCTGCACCCCCCCCCCCCACACACCCCGTCCCCGGCCCCAACCCCCCCCCCCCCCACCCCAGGTTGGCATTGGGAACATGGAATTCAGATCACATTATTCTGCCAACTGGAAAACATCACCAAGTGCGTCACTGGCTGGTACATGAATTGCAATTACACGGCCGACACATCCAGTTCAGGCCGACTGTCCAACATCCCTTTCCAACGTACTCCTGTAACTCATCGCTCCAAGTGGTGGGGTGGGGTGGGGTGGGGGGGGGGAAGGAAAAAGGGGCTCAGTGACCGGGTATCAGGAGTGGAGAGTTAGGCGGTATGATGTGCATACACGTCGCCAGCACGACGACTTAAGCGGTGGTGACAAGTTAAGCACATCGCACCTCACTTCCCCCCCATTCCCCCCATTCTTTCCCCCTTCTCGGCCTCCCTGACGACTGGGGATTTTCGGTTTGGCCGACGATAATCGATAAAGCGGCCGATCTGCAAACCGATTGTTGAGACCCTTAGGTTTCATCTCCACCTTCGCGGTCGTGTTATACCCCGTGAAGCGCTTCGAGACGACCTTCTGACGTGAAAGGCTGGGGGTCGAATGCGAAGGTTATTCCGACTGTTTTCTTTTAACGCTAAGAATTACTACGATAAGCAGCTGTCGTGAGCTTCATTTCTTTACGCCGTTGAGCCTGGAGGCAGCTGATCTCAGGTGGGCCAACATTTGGGGCTAAAATTGACCTCTAGGAGCCCCCTGGATGTGGGGGGGGGGGGTGGAATTCAGTTCCCGCAACTCTGGACACCGGGTGAGGAATTGTCATCCTTCCCTCCCCTCACCCCCCCTCCCACCTGCCAGTGTTTCCTCTCTGCATTCCCAGGTGAAGTTCTGAGCCGACCAAACATACAGTCAATTCACTCTACACTGTAGTCTGTGAAGCGCTTTGAGACGTCTCGAAGACGTGATGAGGCGCTGTATCAAACGCCAGGACATTATTATCGCATGGACAGCCAGAGAGAGCGTCCCCTCTCATCTCCTCTGGGTGACCAACGCAGTCAGAATAGTCTGAGCTTGTCACCTGTCCTGACAGCAGAGTGAGCGAGATAAGGCGATGCAGGCCATTCAGGATAGTAGTCAACAGGATAAGGTCTTCACAATAAGCAACACTGGGTTCTCCATCCCAGGTAACAGCCTGAACGCGTGGGACTGAGATGGTCCAACAGCCCAGAGCCCAGAGTACACCGAAACCTCCTTTATCCTGTCTCGTGAGACCCTCAATTGATTTCCCATCAAATAGCTGTCTCCATTCCCTCCAGTGTAACCTTCTTCCGCACCCCCCCACTCGCTGCCCACAGTTCTCCACTGCTGACAGCAAAGACTTAGCAAAATAAATGGCCACACAGTCGGTCTTAACCTCCTTTAAGAGTCACTGACTTCCTCTTAGCACCTGATTCACCCTCCAACGGCACTTGCCCTCACACAGCGCCCTTCACACTTAGGATAGCGTCTCAGAGCGCTGTACGAGGAAGGGGTTGGATGGAGAGCGAGGGAGATGGGGGAGGGGGGGAGTGACCATAGGCACGGTTGAAGGTGGGGTAGAGATGAGTGGGGGGGGGGGGGGGGGCGCGTGGGGAGAAGGGGTGGGTGCGAGGCGGAGTGGGAGAGACAAGAGACAGTGAACGCCACCACAAATGGGCCGTTTGCTGTTGCCCCGAGCTTCGCAAGCTCAGCCAAGCGCCAGGGAAAACGCAGCAGGTTAATTGGGTTGTGTAAAACGTGCAACCGTTTATGAGCAATCATCTGCTTGTAATATAAAGATTATAAAAAAGGGAGCGGGGCTTAGCTTAACACGATCCCAATAAAGCTGGCTGGAGGGCTGGTTTTATTGTAACGCACAGTGGTGTGGCTCTGATTGAATCTGACAGCTATTTCCTACTTATTTTGGTTTGCCCTGTGGATTGAGTAAATAGATAAAACGGTCGAGTCCGCACGCTAGGTTTATAGACCTATAATAATCCTGGCAGTTGATACGGCGCCTTATCACGACGTCGAGACGTCTCAAAGGGCTTCAACGGGACACGGAGTCAAGCGAATTGACTGTATATTTTGCACAGCAGCGTCCCGCAAGCGTGGATTGAGCGACCAAATTATTATTATTTATTCGGAAGGGGTTATTACGCTCAGAAAAGCGACCCGCCAATCGACCCAAGGTTCCTATTTACTGCTAGGCAAGCGGAGGCGTGTGCGCGGGGTAAGGAAACTTGCCCAATGTTTCGCCCTGCCCGGGAATCGAACCCGGGTCTCTCTCGCTTGCGAGGCGAACGCTCTCACCCCTGAGCTACAGGACTCGCTGCAGATTGTTCTGACAGGTAATGACAGGCTGAAGCTCACAGGCAGGTGGGTAGGGTTCTATTGAAAGCCTGATATAAACCTCCCTGTGTCTTGAGGTGCCCAAACTTGCTTTGCCCACACGTGCGCGCACACACACGTACACGCGCGCGCGCACACCCGGGCACATACACACACTCTCACACGCACACTCACACACACTCACTCACTCACAGAGCCAGCTGACTCCTAAACACTGAGCTCAGAAGAAAGACAGACAGACAGACAGACAGACAGACAGACAGACAGACAGACAGACAGACAGACAGACAGACAGACAGACAGACAGACAGACCCTCTTTGGGTGGGGGGGTGGTTGGTGTTGGATAGATGTTGGCGATGGGGGAGAGTTGGGTGTTTGAACCATCTTTGGGGATGGGATCAAAGGTAATAATGGATTCTTTACTGCTGCCCCCAATCCTAACCCAAGGACAACACTGAGCTGGTGTGTCAGCCTGGATTGTGAGCTCAAGTCCCAACCTGCTACTAACCTAACGACTGAGCCAAGCCAACATCTCCTCGTATTGTTGCCTATAAAGTCATCACCGCACAGATAACGTAGAGATGATTATCTCACTGTTGGGAAACTCTCCACAAAAGGCACGTTGTGCTGACGGGTTAATTGGAACCGTGTAAGACAGCAAACAAGGTTACACAATCCTGTTTCCTCAAACTCTCACCTCATCGCAGATCAACGATAGAGCCCATCCCTCTCTGTCCTTCCTGTCTCCCTTCTCCTTCTCCCCCCAAACCCCCTCAACCCCCTCCCCGTTACTTATGAACCCCACTTCCCCTGGACAATTTTGTTGAGATCGAATGCAGGGGGTGAACCCTACGAGATCTCTCCATGTAATAAAATAAAATATTTTGCCCCACCTCTCCCACCAACAGTCCTCCCCCCTCCCCCACCCCACCCCCCTTGGAAATGAGCCCAGGATACTTCTGACAAGATTTACTGTGTTGCTTGTTCTGTTCGTCTGTGTGTTGCATAAGAACATAAGAAATAGGAGCAGGAGGAGGCCATTCGGCCCCTCGAGCCCTGCCCCGCCATTCGATAAGATCGTGGCTGATCTATTCCAACTCCACCTCCCGCCTTATCCCCATATCCCTTAATCCCTTTCTCCACAAGAATTGTGATATTTCTCAATGTTTCTCAAAGTGTTTCCAAACAGGAAGTGTGCAATTGTGATATGTGGTACAGGACGAATCATGCCTGAGTCTGATCCTGTTCAGTCTGGTGTTTGGGGGGTGGGGGAGGAGGGGGGTAGGGTGGGGGTTGGGGGGGTTTGGAATCTAAGCAAGGATCAGGACAAGCAACCCTCCGTCCTCAACCCGTTGAGGCCAATTGTGAGCACTCTGGGATGCTTCAGTGCGTGAGGGTACGCTATTTAAATGCAACTTAATAATAATAATAATCCTTGCATTTGATACAGCGCCTTATCGGGTCTTCAGGACGTCTCAAAGCGCTTCACGGGGACACACTGCATAGTGAACTGACTGTGTGTTTTGTCTGCGATTCCAATTCAAATCAGATCAGCGCACCAGGATTCGAACCTGTAACTTCTAGTCCAGTGTTTTATCCACTAGGCTACTGGGGTGGTGCCTTCAGCTCCCCTCTCGACTCTCTAACCCGTCCTCGCTCCCTCCCTTCCCTCCCCTCACCCTGACCATATCCCCCCAATGCTCGGGTCCCGACCCAACTGTCCAGCGCCTTGGGACGTCCTCCCGACGTGAAAGGCGCTCTATAAATGCAATCTTGTTGTTGTTGTGTGGTGTGAGAGACAGCAGGTGGGGAAAAGGGGGCGCGGGGATGGGAGGGAGGGGAAACAAGGGGTGGCGGGGAGGGAGGAGTAGAGGGCCTGTGGGGGGGAAATAATAAAGCCTCTATTTATCCTGTTATTTGCAGATATATGTTCCCCGGACAGTGTGTAGAATACAACACAAAATGATATTTACACATCGCCTTTCACGTCGGGAGGAAGTCCCAAGTCCCTGGAAAGTCAGGGGTTTGGACCCGAGCTGGGGGATGGGGGTTTGGGAATCAAGGAGGTTGGAGGGCAGAGAAGATAGGGGTAGGAGGGTGGGCGAAGGGGCGGTCGAAGAGGAGGGTCTAGAGGTCGAAGTGGAGGGTCTTGAGGTCGAAGTGGAGGGTCTTGAATACTGTGTGCAAACGGGTGGAACACGGCTGATGTTGGCAAAGAGAATTGAGCAAACAGATGAGGTCAGTGTTCCCATTTGATGCCCGGGGTGTGTATAAAGTGCGTACGTGCCTCTCACATAAAGCAGAGTTGCCCAATCCCAGCCGTCTGCAAGGGTTAAGCAATCGACCATGACACACAAGGGCAAAAGAGGCGGCTTCTCACTTACAGGAATGCCCGTGCCTTGTTGCTGCTATCTCTAGGAAAGTCTTTCTCAGCGGTTCTTACCTTCGCAGGAGCGTTCGTCCGCAAAACACACGGTCACCGCACTTTACAGCGGGCACTGCGACGTGCTTTGAGATGTCCGCCCAGTGTCAACTGTAGCCAATCATCCACAAAATACACAGTCACTCCACTTCACATGCAGTATAATATTCTGCGAAGCGCTTTGAGACGTCCCGAAGACATGATAAGGCGCGATATCAATTGCAAGGATTATTATTATTAACTAATATTATTACAACAAATGGGCATGGGGGGGGGGGTGCGTGTGGAAGTCAGGGTACTTTCTTCTGGAAACTTTTAGCTCGCTCTCAAACTTAATTATCACATCTAATCTGTTACGGAATGGTGCATTTTCCACCCTCCCTCCGCCCCATCTGTCCTTGATCAACCCCAACTTGGCGCTCGCTGTTCTGTCTTTGGAAGGAAGAAGTCTCTCTTTGTTCTGCGTCATTCACCAGATCTTCGCAGATAAGCATCGTCCTTTACTGGGGAAGGGAGGGAGGGGGGGGGTGGGAGAGGGCGGGTGGGGGGAGCGTGGTGTGCGGGGAGGGGTGGAGGGGAGAGAGAGAGACAGAATGCTAAACACATGACCTCCGCATTTAACCTGCGGATATCAAAGTGGGGGGAGCGGGTGGGGGGGAGGAGACGGAAAGGGGCTCCTCCGAGCTTTGAGATCATTGTCGAGGGGACATTCCTTGAGCCCATTTCAATCCTGGAGCTGTGTTTATTGGAGGCAGAAGGCTCATAAATCAGGGGGAAATGAGCCTTATCCAGTTTAGGGTTGGGTTGGGGTGGGGAGGACCTTGGCAAGGCTGCTCCCAGAACGCGGTCCTCACACGGGGTGGGGGGGGGGGGGGGGACACACGGTGGGTGGTGGGGAGTTGGGGGGGGGTTGGGCGGTCGATTTACAAAGTTAAGTGCAAAATATACAGATTCCAACTTAACCCGAAGCCACCGGGAAAGATCCGATTAGTTTGGTTTCTCTCTCGGTGATCGCTTGTTTTGGCCGTCGAACAACAACAACAGCACCACCTTATTTACACGGCGCCTTTCATGTCGGGAGGACATCCCAAGATGCTGGACAGTTCAGGGATTTGGACCCGAGCTGGAGTTGGAGGGCGGTGGAGGGGGCGCGGGGGGGGGGGGGGGGATTGGGATCAGAGAAGGGTAGCGGGCAGGGAGGGTAGAGGTAGGAGGGTGACCGAAAGTGCGGTCGAAGAGGAGGGTCTTGAGCTGTGCCTTGAAGGAGGTGAGGAACAAGAGGAGGATATCTTTCTTCGCCCTTCGCGGTGACTGGTCGTCGGTAGCGCCCACATGGGCAGACCGGCCCTGCACATCTCTCACTGTTCATTCCCAGCGACCGGCGCGAGTTTTACCGAACGGGCGGCGAGAGAGTGGCACTCGGCGCCGGAAACGGTCGTTGAAGCAGAAAGCGTCGGCGCGTTTTTAAGGGGAAGCTCGACGCCCACGCGCGGGGAATAAGGAGGAATGTGGGGGGGGGGGAGAGAGAGAGAGAAAGAGAGAGAGCACGAGGAGGCAGCGTGTGGAGCACAAGCTCAGTTGGGCAGATCTGACCCGTTTAAGATTGTCCAGAATTTGGCAAAATGGTTGAAATTGGGATTTCGGGGCGAGGGGCGGGGAGTCAGTCTGTCTCTGAGCCCCAGTCTCGCGTGTGGCGCTGTGACTGATAGCCTGACCTCGATGATCAATCACAGGCCTGAAGGTTAGGTCGAAACCTTCTGCTTCCCGTTAAAGCCGGAAGCCTGAGTCCTTTCTCTCTGTGGCGGATCTTATCGCGGCCGCACCTGTCTCTCTCTCTCTCTCTCTCTGGTGGACGATATCCGGTCGCCCTGAAAATAGGCAGCCGTCAGATGTACGCACGCAGGTCTAGACGCTCGCCACGTGACCGGCTACCCACATCCTCAGAGGTCTAGTCACCGGGCGATGGGACGCTGATTAACCTCAGGAGACGCAACAGCCAAGTGTAGTAACGCGGTCTTTCGCATTGGGCCAACAGCGGCAACTTGCACTTGCACGGCATTTCCCTCTCGCAGCGGAGCGTCCCAGGGCGCTTGACAGTGACGGAGCACGTTCCGAGCTGGGGGGCAGTGGGTGGGGGGGGGGGGGGGGGAGTCTCAAAGTGCTTCGTGGGGGGGTGGGGTGGGGGGAAGGAATACGAAAGTGACTTAAGGATTGGGACGGGAGGAGGAACGGCCCCTAAATTGCTGAGCCGGACTGGCGCTGAAGCTGAAATAAAAGCACCGCAATCCACTCGGAAGAAACCAGAGGAACAGAAAATAATAATATTAATAATAATAATAATAATAATCCTTGCACGTGATACAGCTCCTCGTCGAGCGCGGCAGTCCATTGCGCGCAGCGGCGTCCCCCAAAACGGTGGTGCGCGGATTGAGTGACCCAATGTTTACGATTCTTTTATTTTCTCTCTCTCTCTCTCTCCTCTCTCTCTTGTTTTTAATGTTTTGTTTTGCCGCGAGTTATGTTCGAGACGATTTGGCTGAGGTCAGCGGCACAACACTAATGTTCCAAATGCTTCCCCGAAAAATGTCTCTCATACCTCTCTAATGGAAGCCTCATGGGGGGGGGGGGGGACGGGGGGGGGACGACGACGGGAGGGAGAAAAATATGGCAATTAAAGGTTTCTGACGACCACAAAAATCCAGAGCGTTTTTCTAACGTCGGTGCCAGGGGGGGAATTGAGCTGATTTGCAACCCCGCAGGGAGTTTCCACACCGGCTGGAACGGGACCCTTATAACCTTTCCCCCCACCCCACCGCCCGTACCTCCGATGCCCCCACCCACACCCACCCACCCACCTAAGCTCATTCATTGACCAGTGCTGGTGGTTAGAGCACTCGCCTCGCCAGCCAGAGGTCCTGGGTTGGATTCCCAGGGGAGGGGGTGGGGGGGGGGGGGGGGGGGGAGGGTGGTGGTTAGGAAGGATTCCTGACTCCGCACGCCTCCGTTTACCCCGCAGTAAGTAAGTAGGAACCCGGTCGTCGGGTCGATTGGCAGGAAAGAAATAATCGAATAAATAACTAATAATTCGGTCGCTCAATCCAATCCGCGGCTGTTTGCGGGTTCCTGTGAAGCGCTTTGAGACGTCTCTCAACGACCCGATGAGGCGCTGCATCGCACGCGAGGATTATTCATTATTGTTATTCTTCTTCTTCTTATGATTGCTGTCCGGTGTAGTGACTGTTTTTGTGGTTGGCGATCGCGACAAGCTGGGCAATCGCGAGCCACCGTGTGGGTGAGGGGTGGGGGGGGGACGAGTTTCCCGGAGAGGGCGAGGGGAGGAGGAGGAGGAGGAGGAGGATGAGCGGGCGGTGGGTATTTTTTTTAACCCCCCGGCGCTAACGGCCCCGCGTTCTGGACTCTCTCTCTCTCAGGGGCAAGTTTGCGGTGGTGAAGAAGTGCCTGGAGAACTCCTCGGGGAGGGAATACGCGGCAAAGTTCCTGCGGAAGCGCAGGAAAGGTCAAGACTGCCGCACGGACATCGTTCACGAGATCGCCATCCTGGAGATGGCCAAGAGCAGCCCACACGTGGTGGAGCTGCACGAGGTGTACGAGACCCCGTCCGAGCTCATCCTGGTGCTGGAATAGTGAGTGCGTGTGTGTGTGGGGTGGGGGGGGGGTGGGGGGGGGGGGGGGGGGGTGGGGGGGTGTGGGGGGGCAGTTGGGGTCTGTCTTGTCGTCCGGTGACGCAGAATGGTCTTTCTTAATTGCCAACACACGATGACAGCAAAATGACATCATACGGTACCTTACACGCGACACGGAGAGACATGCACATACGCACAGGTAGCGCAAACACATATTAATACATGCACACGCATGCACACACACACACACATCGATACACGCACATGCCCACGCACATTAATACACACACGTGCACACACATGCACACACACATCAATACACACACATGCACACACACATTAATACACATTAATGCGCACACATACACGCACACATGCCCCCACACATTAATGCACACACATATACACGCACTTTAATAAACACACATACACACACATGTACTCAAATACATCCACTCAAACACGCACACACACACACACACTCACACATACAGTCACTACACTTGGCAGCAATAGCCTGTTGTGGCAATGGGATAAAATGGACACGTCCTTATGTTAGTTTCATTAATAATAGGAATAATAATCATTGCATTTGATACAGAGCCTTATCGAGTCGTTGAGACGTCTCAAAGCGCTTCACGGAATATGCTGTAAAGTGGAGTGACTGTGCGGTTCGTGGGTGAAACAGGTTAAGGAACTGCAGCGGATTTCTCCCCCGGTGGGCGTTGTGCGTTGCGTTTCACGGAAAGGCAAACGGCTTTCTTTTAACCTAGTTACTACACTAGGAGTCCTGTAGCTCAGTGGTTAGAGCACTCGCTTTGCAAGTGAGAGACCTGAGTTCAATTCCAGGCAGAGGGCGAAACCTCGGGCAAGTTTCCTTACTCCACACAGAGCCTAATAATAATCCCTCCAAAACCAAAAACAATAATAAATTGGTCATTTTCAATCCACGACTGTTTGTGGGACATTGCTGTGCGCAATTGGCTGCCGCGTTCGCCCACAAATATACAGTCAATTCACTTTACAGTGTGTTCTGTGAAGCGCTTTGGGACGTCCTCCCGACGTGAAAAGCGCTATATCAAATGCAAGGATTATTATTATTATTATTATTATTATTACACGAGTCCGTTCGAAGCCGGCGGCAAAGTTCGAGCGCGGGCATTCGGCGAGAAGCAACAGATCAGCTGTTCCTTCGACACCCCCCCCCCCACCCCCCCACCCCCCGCGCGCGCTCTCTCTCTCTCTCTCGCTCAGTCTGTCGCACGCACTTCCTGATCTAGAAACAAACCCACATCCTCCTTTGCGAAGGGCGAGCGAGAAATCAGCTCACAAATTAAACCGCGAGAGAGAGAGAGAGAGAGGGAGAGAGAGGGAGAAGCAGACATTGCCATTTAAGGTTCTTTTAAAGAGACCCGAGTGCCCGCGTTGACCTATTTATTTACTGCTGCTTCTAATTTCGGTCGTTCACCTTCCCCGGCAGTGTGCGGGACGTTGACGGGCGCGACACGTAGCTGCCGCGCTCACCGGCAAACGCGCAGTCACCACACTTTACAGTGAGTCCTGGGAAGCGCTTTGGGATGTTCTCCCGACGGGAGGTGTGGGTGAGGGTGTTCCTTTCCAGCCGGCAACGTGAGCTGTCGGAGGAGCTCACCGGCACACGGCACGCACCCAACACACGTACACAGGCACACGCGCGCACAGAAACACGCGCACACACACACACACATAATCACATCTACAGACACGCGCGCGCGTGCGTGCAGAGACACACGCGCAACACACATATACACACACACAGAGACACGCATACAGGGACACCCGCAGAGACACACGCGCAGAGACAAACACGCAGAGGCACGCGTAGAGACACGGCCTCGAGATACCGGGAGGTTTGTGGGGCCGTCTCTCGCAGCCACTTCCCCCCCACCCCCCGACCCCCACCCCTCCCCCCCACTCCTCACTCACAAAAAAAATACAGAGTCAATTCACTCTACAGTGTATTCCCGTAAAGCGCTTTGAGACTGTCCCGAAGACGTGATGGAGCGGTGCATCAGATGCCAGGATTACTATTAGGATTATTATTAACGATGGTTTTCGGTGAGCAGCACCCGGAGCAATCACACACACGCACACACACACACACACACAGAGCAATCACACACACGCACACACACACACAGAGCAATCACACACACGCACACACACACACAGAGAGCAATCACACACACACACACACACACAGAGCAATCACACACACACACACACACACACACACAGAGCAATCACACGCGCACACACACACACACACACAGAGCAATCACACACACACACACACACAGAGCAATCACACGCACACACACACACACAGAGCAATCACACACACACACACAGAGCAATCACACGCACACACACACAGAGCAATCAAGCAATCACACGCGCACAGAGCAATCACACACACACACACACACACACACAGAGCAATCACACGCACACACACACACAGAGCAATCACACACACACACACACACACAGCAATCACACGCACACACACACACACACACAGAGCAATCGCACACACACACACACAAAGATACAGACACACACGCGCACACATACACACAGAACAATCACGCGCACACACACACACACAGATCCAGATACACACATATACACACGCGCGTGCACGCAGGACAATCCCCCCCCACACACACACACACAAAGTTATACACACGCACGCACACACACACATACACACACAGAACAATCACGCACACGCACCAGACACGCGCACACACAGACAAACCCGTCCAGGCAGAGCGCAGACTGGGTCAGAGCGTCTGTATATAGATTTATATAGATTTTTAATCATTGACCACAGAGCTGCCATCCTGATCACTTTTCATGTGCGCGAGGTTCGCAGCGGGTATTGACGGGGCGACAATCCCATCTGGGGTGGATAATGCCCTCCGCCCCACCCCACCCCCACCCCACCCCCACCCCAGCCCCACCCCAACCCCCAACCCACCCCCAACCCCAATTCCCGATGTTCCCGATTGAGTTAGATTTCACCGGGAGTCGGGGAGGTGGAGCTGGACACAGGGACAGGACCCTCCGGAGGGCCCTCCGGATGATCAGTAGGAGATAACACGCCCATCCTGGGTCAGGAAACCCCGTGGGGCCTGGAATTCCGCCCGGTCTCAGCCCGCGACATCGTCTTGACTTCGGACAGGGTGCGGAGTTGCGGGCGCACTCTTCGATCCGGTTCGGGCCGCAAGATAGACGGTCCATTCCCTTCGCAGGATATTCTGAGAAGCGCTTTGAGACGTCTCGAAGACGTGATAAGGCGTGAGATCCAACGCAAGGCTCATTATTATTATTATTATTATTTCTCTAAGGTCCTTGTGATCATCACTGATCTCAACCTCGACCGTCAGTTCCTCAGCTTCGGTTGTCGGTCATTGGCTGTCAACAGAACTTTTTTAAGTTGTTGAGGAACTAACCTTAGTCGGGTTGGGGGGGGGGGGTGGGGGGGTGGGGGGAGAGAGACGGAAACCTCGACTATTTACAGATTTATGGGGTTTGGGTGAGGAAGCGAAAGGCTTATTTTCGGACAGACTGTCATCGCTTGATCTCAATTTAGTTTCTCTCTTTCGCTCTCGGTAAACACAGCAGTTATTATTTCCAGACCGCACGGGAATGAACGGACTGATACGCTCACTCCCACACGCGCTCATTTATGTAAGAGGAACGGGAATAAATCTGTACATTACCCGGGGGCTGTGGGGGGGGGGGTGGGGGGGAGGGTGGGGCTGGAGGGGGAAATAACAATAAATCAGATTAAATCAGCTACAAATCTTCATTGCTGGAAAATGAGATAGTTGCTCTGGTTGTTTAGTCGCGGAGCCGGAGCTGACTGTGCGCGTTCCCCAGTCCCTCGTTCCGACTCTCTATGTTTTGGAAGAAAACACTCTGAGGGCTCTCAGTGCTGAGCCGTCGTGTGTGTTCGGCTATTTTTAAAAGTCCCGGGTGTTCGAGCTGCACATTGGGCGGGAGAAAGGAAAGACACAGACGCACACGCACGCGCACGAGCACGCGCACGCACACGCGCACAGACACACACACACGCACAGCCCTTCTGTTCGACCGCAACAGCAACTTTCACAACAGCAACTGACCGGCCGGCCTTGTGACGTCCTCCCTTCGAGCAACCGTCCAGCCTCCCAAGCTCTTCCCTCGCCACATCCCACAAAAGACACAGTCACTCCACTTTACAGTATTCCCCGTGAAGCGCTTTGAGACGGCTCAGAGACCCGATAAGGCGCTGTACCAAACTCAAGGATTATTGTTCGTATTATTATCTCCGATTGATTGATTGATTGGTTGATTGATTGATTGATTGACCGATTTCTCTTCCCGTCCACAGTGCAGCCGGTGGCGAGATCTTTAACCAGTGTGTGGCGGAGAGAGACGAAGCTTTCAAGGAGAGGGACGTGATCCGTCTGATCAACCAGATCCTGACCGGAGTGGCTTTCCTGCACAGGAACAATGTGGTTCACCTGGACCTGAAGGTACGATCCTGGGCTGATCGATCGGCTCGACTCCCACGCCCTCCCTGCCCACTGGGCTCCTCGACGTTCGTTGACCAACCCGCCCTCAAAAGACGCAGTCGCTACACCTTCGCGCGCGGTAAACCCCGGTGAGGACGTCCTCCCGATGGGATAAGACCAAAACACACCGTCGTTCCGCCTCGCAGCGCAATCCCGTATTGAGGCGCTTTGAGGCGTCTCTCGAAGACGTGTGATGAGGCGCTGTGACGAATGCAAAGATTATTATTATTATCATTATTATTATCATTGTGATATCAATTGCAAGTTGAGCGCTTGACGGAAGCTGAGCCGGGGTTAGCAAACAGAGCGTTTTAGCCCCCCGCGTAAGGGGGGGGGGGTGCGGGTGGGATGGGTGGAGGTCAATTTGCCGCGGTTCCCTTTTGTCCTGCCGTGACTCAAGTCTATCTGTCGACATCCTGCAGCCTCAGAACATCCTCCTGACCAGCAGTAACCCTCTGGGAGACATCCGGATCGTGGACTTCGGGCTCTCGAGGAAGGTGGACAACGTGGAGGAGGTCAGGGAGATCCTGGGCACCCCCGAGTACGTAGGTGAGTGTCCTGACCGCATCCACCGCTGTGCGCAGTCGGCTGCCGTGCTTCGGCCGGTCGCTCCGCTCGCCGGTGTTGCCTGCACAGCGCTTTCAGACGTCCCGAAGACGCGATAATAATAATAATAATAATCCTTGCATTTGATATAGCGCTTTTCACGTCGGGAGGACGTCCCAAAGCGCTTCACAGAACACACTGTAAAGTGAATTGACTGTATATTTGTGGGTGAACGCGATAAGGCGCTGCATCAAACCCCGAGGATTATTATCATTATTTTCTCTCTTCATCTCGCCCACAGCTCCCGAAATCTTAAACTATGAGCCGATCAGCACGGCGACAGACATGTGGTAAGTCACAGCTCCATCTTAGCAGCGTCCAGGGTTGAGCTTCTGGTTTACACGGTGGAGGCATTATGTGAGCAGCGGAGTGAGTCTGATAGCCACAGAACTCACCAAACGTCACTGCGCTATTCAAGAGGCAAAGGAGTTTCTCTCTCTCTCTCTCGCGCGCGCTCTCTCTCTCTCTCCCGGTGTCCTGGCCGACAATTCCCCCACATCAAATTGGTCACTCGCTCCACACGTGCCGCATTTCGCCCACAGAATGCGCAGTCACTACGCTTTATGATGTATCCTGTGGAGTGTGGGTGGGGGAATGGGGGGAGAGCTAGAGAGAGAGAGAGAGAGAGGGAATCAGTTACACTCCTTTCACCCACAAAATACACAGTACACTCCACTTTACAGTGTGTGTCCTGCGAAGGGCTTTGAGACGCCTCGAAGAAGCGGATAAGACGCTGTATCAAATGCAAGAATTATTATTATTATTAATGTGTCTCTCTCTCTCTATTTTGCTCAGGACTATCGGAGTGCTGACGTACGTGATGCTGACGGGAATCTCCCCGTTCCTGGGCGATGACAAACAGACCACGTACCTGAACATCTCCCGGGTGGACGTCGACTACACTCAGGATGTCTTCGAAGGCATCTCCGACCTGGCCCTCGATTTCCTCCAGACTCTCCTCATCAAGGACCCGAGGTGAGGCTCCAATAGCGAGGACGGGGGGTTGGTGACGTCCTGTAGCTCAGTGGTTGGCTGCGCTCGCCGGGCAAGCGAGAGGACCCGGGCTGAGCAGGGCGAAACGTGGGGCAAGTTTCCTCCCTCCACACACGTACACACACACACGCGCACGCACACTCGCGCCCGGCGGTGAAAAGGAACCTACCCGGTTGTTAGTTGTAATAATCCTTAAAAAATAATAATAATAATACGCTGTGAAGCGCTCTGAGGCGTCTCAACGACGTGACGAGGCGCTGAATCAGACTCGAGGATTATTACGTGTCATTATGGAGCCGTGGGTCGAGTTAATTTCGGTCGTTATTCCCTCCAGGAAAAGGACGAAGGCGGTTCAGTGCCTGGAGCACCCCTGGCTGTCGTCTGACCCACGGGTACCGAGACCGGTGAGCGGGTGGGGAGAGGAAGAGGAGGATGAGGAGGAGGAGAAAGGGCGCGGAGCCGGGCAGCCGGGCAGCAGCTCGGAGAAGCTGGTGCTCGTGGCCTCCTACACGCTGTGCAGGCAGCTGGACGAGACCCTGGACACGAGCCGAGCCTCGGTACGCAAGCACTTTGCCTTCGAGGAGCCCTTCGCAAACTTGCCAGAGATTCAGCAGGAATTGGTTTGCTGAGAGCTTGAGGGAGAGACTTGGACTCCCAGTGCACACTGACTCCAAACGCCCTCTCCGCACCTGCGTTTAGCCTCCGAGTGAGAGGGTGGGGTAGGGGGGGGAAGGACAGCTGAATTTTCCTTGAGGTCTTGACCTCGTCTAAATGCCGGGCACTCACTCGGTCTGGGATGATCTCAAGCCTAAATCTGAGCAAACATAGCTTGTATATTCCACACACCCCCCCCCCCTCCACACCCCAGTGTAAGTCTGGGTGCGTGGGCAGATACGCGAGTGATGGTGGGAGACGCTGGAGGTTTGGGGGGGAAAAGAGGAGAGTGGAAAAATCTTTGTTATTTTACTTTCCTCCAGTCAAAGGTAACTTACTGGCAAGGTTTGTGCTTTGTGTGCGCTGCTGAACGAACCTTCAAAGAGGAGGGGGAGAGGTGTTGGGGGGATAAATGAGAGCTCTAGGATTAGGGCGAGGTAGGGCCTTTTTGAGAGGTCTATGGTTTCGAGTTGGTGCCATTGCTGGACACAGCTTCCTACTGACCTTAGCATCGAACAGGCCGGAGGAAGAGATTCAGATCCAGTCTTTCCCTCAATGAAAGAAATCCAGACGGCGGTAAAGCCAAGTCCTCCTGTGCTCTTCCCTGGCACCAATTCCTGGCGGAAGGCTTAAGGCGCAACAGCAGTAACGAGCAAATGTCCAAAGGACCGTCAAGTCACCCATTGCTCTGCCGACGAGCCCGACAGAATATGCTCCAACAACAACAACAACTTGGATTTCTACAGCGCCCTCCACTCACTTGTTGTCATGTTGTCGACGCTGCCAAAGCCAAAGCCGAAGCCACGACTGTATAGGGTGGTCCTCGGTTGGGGAAAGCGCCCCCCCCCCCAATATTTAGCTGAGCTTCGCAAGCGTTTGTTGTTACACGTACAGTCGAAGATCGAGCTGTGTGGGGGTGGGGTGGGGGGGTGGTGGTGTTTATCAGCTTACATCCCAGCAGTGAATTCAGCACTCTAAGAGCGATTGTCTGGGTGCGGAGAGCGTGGAGGTGAGGAAAAGGCAGCTCTTAGAGATGAGTGGCTACACCTGGGCCCCCAGATTGCACCCACCTGTCCTGGGGTTGCACCCCGGGGCTGGGTTTGAAGACCTGCGCTCTCGCCCACTGCCCTGCACGAAGGCCTCCGCGTAAAATAAAAGCAAGTTGCTTGCGTTGGTGCATAAACTGTTTCTGCCGCAAAAAACACACAGTCACTCCACTTTGCAGCCTGTCCCGTGAAGGGCTTTTGAGACGTCCCGACGAGGTGACAAGGCGCCGGGTCAAACCCGAGGATGATTATTATTATATTATTGTAACCGTCTCGATTGCCAGTCAGTCGGTCGGTCGGCACGGTACACCTTGAAAGCGATATTTTTCCATTCGATGTGATGAGACGCGTTTTTTTCTATTAGACTGTATTGTATGGTGACATTAAAGAGCATTTATTATAAACCGGGCCATTTCTGACCGTTTTAACGAGCCAGTGATCGCGTCTCCAACGAAGTCCCCACTCCCCCTCCCTCCGCACCTCGTGACGTTAAAGTCTGAGTCGTTCACAGTACCCAACGGTGTGTGTACAGCATCGAAGGGGGCGACGGATCGGGGGAGTTTTAATGTTATTTTCCAACTTGTACGATCAGGACATAATGCAACACTTTCTCACCCCCCCCCCTCCCACCACCCCCTGCACATGGCTCCCACCCCCCCCCCCACCCCCCACCCCCAGTTCGAATGCCCTCCCAGGACTGTGAATAAATGTGGATTTAATGTAAATTTTAATGTTATTCAGAAACTTTATTGCGATGAGGACTTCCCTGTGTTCAGCCTGGTTCCCATCCAACTTCCTGAACTTTCTTTGTGTTCGCATTGGAAAGCGAGTGAGGAAATATGCAGAAGTAATCAAGTCGTGGGGGGGGGGGGGTGGGGGGTGGGGAGAAAAAGTCTCGCTCGCAAACCCTCTCTGACTCCCGGCCACTGCTCCCAGTGCCTCAATCAAAAGGAAGATAGAAACGGGAGGAGGCCATTCAGCCCCTCGAGCCTGTTACGGGAACCCTTTCCTCGCACGCAATAGCTGCAGACGTCTCGAAGAGATAAATGCGCTCTCTCTATATATATATAGATATAAAAAAAAATCCAAGATCTTCCTTTCACACGGAGAATTCAGTCACACCTGACACCGTATGTTTCAGAGAAATATCTCAGTGCGTTCCAACTCTGAGATACAACACGATTTACCCCCACAGAGCCAACCTTTGGCTCATGGTCAGACTCCACCGCTGTGAAGGCCTCCGGGACGTTAACCCCCTTGTGAAGGACGCTGTGCAGGTGCTATGGTTGTTGTTGTTGTTGTTGTTGCCTCTCACGTGGGGAGGATGGCCCCAAAAGCCCATTTATGCGCCGTGGCTTTGAGGGCACTCGAACTGGGTGATGGGAGCTGCGGAGACGGAAAGGGAGGCGGGGTGGGGCGGTGGGGGGGGTGTGTGGTTGGTGAGACGAGTGGACGGAGAGCTTGGGGCAATCGGTCAATCCAGGAACCTTTTCTTTCCCCCCCACCTCCCCACTTCTCCCGCCCTCTCTCCCCCACCCCCTCTCTCCCACACTCTCCCTCCCCTTCTTCCCCACCTGCACTCTTCCCCCCCCACCCCCCATCCCCTCCACCTCTTCCTCCTCCCCCGCCGCGCCCCCACCCCCTGTGAAAAGTGCCGAGGTTGGCAGAGGTGGAGAGTGTTTTTATGCCGAATATCACTTTGTCAGCTCATTCCCAATCCATCACGTTACTTGCTGCCGCTCGGGGAATTGAGGAATGCGGACTGGATAATATCTTCAAGCTGCTTTTCTCCTTCCTGAATTTTTTTTTAAAAATGTTTGCAAAAAAACACACACGCACGCACACACACACGTGCGCTCGGGAAAAAAAATAATAATAATAATAATCCTCGCATTTGATATAGCGCTTTTCACGTCGGGAGGACGTCCCAAAGCGCTTCACAGAACACACTGTAAAGTGAATTGACTGTATATTTGTGGGCGAACGCGGCGGCCGATTGCGCACAGCAATGTCCCACAAAGTGTCGTAGATTGAAAATGACCAATTTATTATTGTTTTTGGTTTTGGAGGGATTATTATTAGGCTCTGTGTGGAGTAAGGAAACTTGCCCAAGGTTTCGCCCTCTGCCTGGAATTGAACTCAGGTCTCTCACTTGCAAAGCGAATGCTCTAACCACTGAGCTACAGGACTCCACGAAGAAGTAAGAAAGAAAACCAGACCAGCGTTGTCAAATGCCCCTTCTCCCCGCCGCCCACCAGCCTCACCCCGCTGCTCCCCCTCTTCCCCCCACCCCATCAACACCCCAATGTGAAGGGGGGCTATATAAATGCAAGTTGTTGTTGTTGTTGTTGTTTCCACTCGTCTCGTACCAGGCCGGTTACACTGGACACCCACCTCTCCGCAGACCGACGGCGCTCGAGAAAGTTAGGACGCTTAAGAACGTAACCCAAATTGGCGAAGTCCCCCCCCCCCCCACCCCCCCAGTCTTGGCTCTTGCCAACCTGCGCCTACTACTCTGATAAGGTAAGAGGGGCTGCATCCCTCCAGAGAGACAGAGAGGGCATTCCATTCCAGCAATCTTTGGGATGTCCTCCCGCCATGAAAGCCGCCGTATACACTCACTTTGCTGTTGTTGGCAAGAGTCGAGGCTTTTGGGGTGGGGGGGGGGAGGGATCTCAGAGGGTGGGTCGGGTTGGGGTTGGGGGTAGCTGCCGTCGGGGAGGGGGGGGGAAGCTAAACCACCTAAAACTGCACAGCCTGCCATCGAGAGCTCCGTCTGTCAGTGACACATTTTTGCCGTTGACAGTGAAAGACATTTAGTGAGGTCTGTCTTTACCGAGACCGGCAGAAAAACAGCTCCCAGATTTATTTCAAGACTTTTCCTGCAATTCTGCCATTTGCAATGACTAATTCCACCCCCCACCCCCACCACACACACACACACACACACCCTCCCCCACCGCCGCCCCTATCGGTAGCCACATCTGGGGGATGAATTACTGGCAACGTTGGCCGGATTGACGCGGGAGCTCGACTTCAGTTCAAGATTGCGACAAGAGGTTCTGCTTCAAGTTACTTTGCTGTTGGTGCCGCCCTGTGGCTGTCACAGACAAGCAAACTAAACCGCTAGCAATAATAATAATAATAATAATAATAATAATAACCCTTGCGGTTTTGACATAGCGCTTTTCACGCCTTCGAGACGTCTCGAAGCGCTTCACAGGGCGGACTGCAAAGTGAATCGACCGCATATTTTGTGGGCGAAATGCGGCAGCCGATTGCGCGCAGCGGCGTTCCCCCCCCCCCACCCCACAAACAGCCGTGGACTGAAGTGACCGATTTATTCCTGTTTTTTTTTTCTTGAGGGATTATTACTGTTAGGCGAGCGCGTGGAGTAAGGAGATCTGCCCGAGGACAATCTTAGCCTAAGACACGCTAAACGAGGGCACCTTTGATGACTCAAGTGCTGTATCGGGTGAGCTCCGGCCGGCCGGAGCGACTATCAGCTGAGGAGAGGCGAAAGGAAATCACGACAAAGAAATGATGCACTGGCTTTCCTGTTTGGATGCAATAGCTGGACAATTCCACGCGTCCACAAGAGGAAGCTGTTGTACTGCTAACTTCACGACCGTCATGTATTTCTCCTCCAAATACACGATTCCAGTGAGCTCAGTGATCTTAACGCAAGACGACTGTCTGTGGTTTACGTTGGGTTTACGTTAAGATTCTTCCGAGTCCCTCCCACCCGCATTTGCAGCTGTTAATCTGTTAATTATCCCGAAGCGCGCCATACAAGAACGCAGCCACTGCGTATTCAAAGTAAATTCCTGGCGAGGTATTCTGACCGCGCGGTGCTGGGGGGGGGGGGGGGGTGGGGTCAAACCCCAGGTTGCTCATTTTGCAGAGAGGCAAACAGGCAATAACGGAAAGGATTTTATTTTATCGAAGGCTGTCGGGTAGAGCAGCCAGATCAGATCATTCAGCCGTCATAATAATAATAATCCTTGCATTTGATATAGCGCTTTTCACGTCGGGAGGACGTCCCAAAGCGCTTCACAGAACACACTGTAAAGTGAATTGACTGTATATTTGTGGGCGAACGCGGCAGCCATTGCGCACAGCAATGTCCCACAAAGTGTCGTAGATTCAAAATGACCAATTTATTATTGTTTTTGGTTTTGGAGGGATTATTATTAGGCTCTGTGTGGAGTAAGGAAACTTGCCCAAGGTTTCGCCCTCTGCCTGGAATTGAACTCAGGTCTCTCACTTGCAAAGCGAGTGCTCTAACCACTGAGCCACAGGACTCCATAATGAATAATAAAGGAACTCGATAGGGCGGCTACGGAGAAACTATTTCCTCTGGTGGGTGGGGCAATCCAGAACAAGGTGGGCATCATCGTAATGTTAGAGCCGGGCCAGATTCCCCACTGGGTATGGAGATATTCAGCGAACAGCCGTAAATATAAACCTGAGGCCGTGTACTGTACCGCAAAAGGGGGGCTTGAAATCGTTCGATTTAAACGGGCTAAAGGCAGCCTGACCGAAAGTGTCCGTCGAGCTGGGAGTCTGTCCCGTCGAACGTCTGTCTGGGTGCGGAAGAGAAGAGGAGTAGAGCAGAGAGGGCTCTTCCCCTCGGGAGGGTGTCCCCGACATTCCTCCTCTCTGAACATTTCAGAGCAGGAATTCCAGGGCGAGGTCCCGTCAAATGCCTCCTGCCTCCTCGTGCGGCTGGCTCGCACACGAGTGTGCGCTGTGACATTTCCCACTGACATGCGATAGCGAGGTGTGGGCGGGGGGAGGGAGAGGGAGAAGGAGAGAGAGCGAGGGAGAGGGAGAGGGAGAGAGAGAAAGTGAGGCAATCCTCCTTTAAAAGCAGCAGTGGGGTCTGCCTGCGATTCTACCCAAGTCCCAGCCGCGGAGGAATATTTCACCCTGAGATTTTCAAAACTGGTAACTTAACTCACTCAAACGCACTCACTTATCTTCAGACTGGACACTAACTGTTGTTGTATGGCCCTCACACCCTCCGACCGTGTCCTCGATTCGTCAGTGAACTAACAAGGGAACAGCTGAAACCGAATCCTAATCATAAGACATTAAAATGTGTCAGCGCAGAGTTTGACGGATCCATTAAAATCCCTCACACTCCCGGGGAGAGAATGCCTTTCCGTCCACGCGTCACCCTGGTCAGAGTTTTGTGGGTTGAAACCCCTTACGGCGGGACTTTCAACTCAGTCTCGGGCTGACGTACGCTAAAGATCTCGTGGCGCTACTCGAAATGAAGAGGGATTCTCTCCCAGGGTCCTGGCCGACAATCCCCCACCCCAAATAAAACCGGTCATCCACTTCGTGGCTGTGCCTGGGACGTTTCTGTGTGCGAATTGGGTGCCCTACAGTCACCACACTTTACAGTAGATCCTGTGAAGCGCTTTCAGACATCTCGATGATACGCCGCTGATCTTAAAACGCTTGCGCTATCGGGACCAAACAACATTCAGCAAACTCCCTCGGGTGCCATGGTCAGAATCAGTCACATTTTATTCTAGGATCAAGTACATGGTCAATATTATAATAGATAGGCTACAATCCAGGTGTGCCGGAGTATTTTCTACGAGATGGCAAAGGGATGATTTGGTGCACACTTTTCACAAAAAGCTGTAAACCATCAAAACACGTCAAACCAACAAACAAAAATAATTCACAACAGTGAAGGAGCAGTAGTCACGAGGATTTCAATCAGTCCCGACACAAATCCATTGTACACACGCGCGCGAGCGCACACACACACACACAAAGCTATTTAACACGTAAAGCCTGACAGAATGGGGAGGAGGTGGGGGGGGGAAGCGACTTGGTATACTGACAGTTTGAGATCAAGAGCCATGTCACAAGTACCAGTGCAACTTTAGCAAAACATCATTCTTCGTAACGCAGGAGAGAGAGAGAGAGACACACACATTACGTGGCTTTCAGCAAACCAAATCCTTGACTTTTGCCAAGACAGAATGCTGAAATGCAGTCCTTGGCCCCTTGTGTCCCACTGAGTAGCACTGAATCACAACAAAACTGAGGGGAGGAAGGCGGAGGAGTCCAACCGGTGCTATTTCTTAACAGGATTCTTCAGCAAGGGACCCCTTTGCCTACTTCCGAGGAACGTTGTGAGGAATAGGTCGAGGGCACTTCGCGGGCCAGGACTGAACAGGGAACTGGAACTTGCAGGAACTCGGCCCCAACACAATCCACTTCTGAAGCGTTGGGCAGATAGAAAATCCAATGGGATTTAAGAAACACCGCAAATTAGACCCCCCCACCCCACCCCCAACCCTTTACCCAATAGCAATTTAATATGTCAGGGTTTCTCTTCCAAAAAGTGTGGCGTGGGATGAGGTTTGCAACCACATAAAGGGCTTCCTTCCAATGAACGAAAGAGAAAGTGCATCAAGAACTGCGAGAAATAAATAGAGAGAGAGAAGAGGAACACTGATCATAATCCTTTGCTACTGTCCTTCGCTCAGAACAGGCAGTGCAAGGAATAAATCATTCCTGATCACTGAAACCTTGCATCATTGGCTCAATTGTTTCAGGTTTTGTGCAACTTGTTGGAAGAACAATTTCATTTGTAGATGACAGGATTGGGAGCATTGGATAAACCCACGATAGTTTTAGCAGCAATGAAGGCATCAGGCAATATCCTTAGGATTACTGTTATATTCAGTCCCCGTGTCACACCGCCATCCTCCCGAGACACTTACAAAAATAATCCTTGCATTAATGCTGAAGATTGAGAGAAACCAGTGTTAACAGTCAATTGATGAACAGCCACTGTGGTAGTCAAGAAGGAGGAGAAAACATACAAGGGAAAAACTAGCCTGTGTTACCAGCCATCAGCCCTTTACAGATTGTTTAACAGGTGTTTTAATAGACGCTCGATAAACTGAGTGCAACCGAGAGTGGTAGCACTAGTTACAATTAGATTTGTGAATAGTTAATGATATTCCCTCGTGCCCAAAGCAAAGCAAAACTTGGACATCTCAACTAGTTACTCAACAGTCCCGGTGTCTGAAGGCCCTGTTTGCTCACTTGGATATGGGCTCACTTGGATATGGTGCATTTCGCGAGCAGATTGGAATCACGGTAGGAAGGAGAATAGCTTATTTACACTGGTCTGGGTGGGGTGGGGGGGGGGGAAACGAGAGATTCTTATTTGGAAAGAGAAGCTGCATACACATTCCAGTAACAATGCAGTGTTTGAACAAACTATCCCTTGGTTTCCCTTTTTAGGACCACAAAGAACACAGAAAATGTATATAAATAATGTATTGGGACGGAGGCAGAAATATAGAGACTCTGCTGTCATCCGTGTTCGGTACTGGGATTACCATCGGTTTTTGCTTTGCTCGGTCTACCGCCCCCCACCCCCACCCCGCCCCACCCCAGTCACCCATTGCCAGCTTTCAGGACTTTCCAATACAGTGCATTTTCTCAAGCAAAAAGGACTTTTGTGTTTTTTTCCTCCCCTCTTCTGTTTGTCTCTTTGCTTTTCTTCTCTCATTCCCACCCCCTCCCCACCCCGATCGTCCCAACATCCTATAAATAAATAAATTCACTAGAATTAGCTACAAATCTACACTGAGTCTCTACAAATCAGACACTGGGCACACACACACACACACTAATTTTGACCAACAGGGAACATTCTCGGGAGATGACTGCCACAGTATAATACTTCCTGAGACAAAGCCACAGATTAAATACATGAACATTACACACCACACAATATACACGCACACACACACACACACACACACACACAGACAACTGCACTGCAGAAAAACCACCAAAGGGAACATTGGGAATGGAGGGCAAGAGTTAAGCCACAATGAACGGACACACACTTTACAACTAGACTTTGATTTACGTGGGGTGACGTTTTGGTTACGTTCAGTGCATGCGGAGAAAGTAACGTCAGAATTGACATCAACGTCAGGTTAGGATTCGGATGAGGCTGAGAAGCAAAGAGCAATTTGTAAAAAAAAAATCACATGATCCAGGGGCACATCAAAGTCCAGACATTTGACAAAAACAGAGACACACAGAGAGAGAGAGAGAGAGAGAGAGAGATTTGAGTCAAAGCTTTCTTCACTCTTCAAACTTTCCTTCGAGAATGCTTTCGAAGGAGAACGGGACAAATTTGTAGCCGGCTCCCGAATAGAATTTGTTCTGGAATTCCACCCTGCAGAGCAGAAAAGAACAGAACATATCAATCAATTAAAGCACCTCACATTACAATAGGCTGGAGAGTTGGCACCTGTATTTTTTAAAAAAAAATGCTCGATCTGAAAATCTCAAGCTTTTCACGGTGGTGGTGGCGGGGGGGGGGGGGGGGAGTCAAAGATATTTAACCAAAGGTTACACTAACTGTCAGGGCAGGAAAGAAAATTACAAACAGTCTCCCTTGTTTATTGAAAAGATTGTCAGCTATCAAATGAATTCGGCAACAGATGCTACACTTTGGGGAGTGTGCTGTCTCGAGGCTCTTCGGATTACAGGCAGCTTTACTATCTGACAGCTGTCTTGCTTGCATCCCATACACTTCCATAAGGAGAGCGAGATTAAATCCTCTCTCAGGCCCCTGCACGCATGTGGGGGAGGTGGGGGGAGGCCACAAATCAAGTGCATTTCTGAGAAGTGTTAGAGCAGCAGATACATTCATTCCTTCCCGCCCCCAGGCGTCGTCCTCATCCTCGGAATAAACCAGGTTGAGGTTTCATGAGGCAGGTTTTACTCAAGGCCACACTTTAATAGAAACGGATAATAAAAATTTAACAATAACGCCCCTTGCATTTGAAACAGCACCTCATCGCGTCTTTTGAGACGTCTCAAAAGTGCTTCACAAAATATACTGCAAAGTGAATTGACTGTATATTTTGTGGGCGATTGGTTTTCTGGGGGTGACAATTTCTTAGTAAAGAAAAAGATTTTAAAAAATAATAATTTGGCCACTCAATGCGGGACACTGCTGTGGGCAATTGGCTGCCACGTTTCACCCACAAAAAATACAGCCAATGCACTCACAGTATATTCTGTGAAGCGCTTTGAGACGTCTCGAAGACGTGATAAGGCGCTGTGGCAAATACAAGGATTATTATTACTATTATTAATAAACCTACAACTTTCTGATCTGCAGACCAGAGTGCTGCCAACCGAGCCAAGCTGACACCTTTAGCATTAAGAGGGTCAAGGGTTGCCAACTCAGCAATCACTTGCCCACGTATCATTACATCAAAGAGTGTTACACAAACTAGTCACGGAGGAGGGAGAGTATACTGTTACAAATGGGATCCAGAGTTAAAATCAAAAAGGCGGGGGAAAAAGATATTGAATATCTCCTTCGGAATTATGGAACAAATCAGTCCTCACCACACGAGTAAAATATATTCCCATTTTCTATTGTTTAAAAAAAAATCGCACACAATTGGCGCATTAATGTTCTTGGCATTTTGCCAAAAAGAGATAGAAATGAAACCAATGGCCATCTGTAGTAGTAGTGAGCGTCTGAATATCAAGGACACCCAACCTCAGACGCTGTACATGCTAAGGACGCCACAGATCCCACTCGTCCTCATCCTCACAGCAGATTCAGTGGATTTTCAGAAAAGGTTTTGAGATTCCTTGGCTATAAATATCTCACAAAAGTGCCAACATTTGAAGTGAACAAAAAAAAGAAGTATAAGAATGCAAAAGAGGAAACTAAAAATTACGGGGTTTCAGGTAGGTTAAGGGTGCAGAAATGTCTGCAGTTTGGCCGCACCTGTGCCGAGCACGAATTCATTGCTGCTTTGAAATTCATATTTACAAGAGGGGTTTGGTGGAAGAAGGTCTCTCTTGCCATTTGATCTCACTCTCACGCAAGGTCAACCTGTCCACTCACCCTCCATCCCACAGTCCTCTTCACCTCGCTCCCTCCCTTCCTTCCTCCCTCCAAGGCATGAGGGAATCCTGATTGAATCCGAGCCTCGTTTATACACATCAATAGCCTGGGAGCCAATACCCGATTGGGAACGGGTGACCCACGCTGAACAAGGAACGCCACACTAATTGCGGCCTCCGCTGGGTAAATTCATCCACGGGAGCGAAGCCATGTCGGCAACACCAGTGCGTTTCTTACCAGTGCAAACGAAGGGCGTGTAGGAACGCAGAGAGACCCTCCATGATGAGGAGGATCGCAATCGTCAGCGTAGCGAAGATGGCAAACAAGAAGAAGACGGCCACGGATCCGATCAAGCTGTTGATCGACAGCCCGAGACGCAAAACCATGTTCCACAGCACCTCAGAGAGCTCTGAAACAGGTCAAATACAAGATGTGTTTGAGCACTGAGGAAAGGTTATTAGCCTAGCAGTCAGGATAGCAGAGCAGGTAGGCGGTGGGTGGGGGGATATTATTAATCAGGAAGGTTAGGCTCACAGTGTTTCCAGCGTAAGAAAGAAGGATGGGAAATGAGAATTTTAATGATGGGGAAAATTAAAGCAAACGGTTATAAGATGATCATTTTAAAAGCACTGCACAATTGGCAGCTGTGGATATTAATTTTTAATGGACAGAGGTGAAGTCAAAAAGAACCCCAACTTTCTGAACAAAGTAGTTGTTTTTTTTTTAAAAATGTTGTTGAAACTTTTATTCGAGCCTCGAATGTTTCCAGACTTGTGCATTTCAAAACACGGTCTGTGGTACGGTATCGGAAATGTTTTTCCACCCCAACTGAAAGTGAGAGTGAGATGTCCTGAAGGGTGCAAGTCAACAAGAACTTTGCTCTGCTCAGAAAGTGAAACTGGAATTAATATAATACAACTTAGAGCTTTTGTTCTTGATAAAGAAGTATCTGGGGGAACACACACACACACACACACACCTTGGAGTGCGGAAACAATTGGGCCACACACTTTGGGAAAGAAAGGAACAATTTTGAACAGAACTCGGAAGCCTTAAGGGATAGTTTAAAGGTGAAATTCTACCACAGCAGTGAAGCCACGTTGCAGACAGGTTTTAGAGCTAAGTCTTTCGTGTGCACATCATCTCTGTTCGGAGGAGGCCACAAAGGCCATTATCTCCAGCCAGAATTCCTTTCTGCCCAAAAAGCAGCGAACCGATAAAATGTGTTATCTGTGGGTTTCAGTTAAGACCATACATGTTTTTTTCCCCCCGAGCTTCTGGCTTGAACCAAACAATCCTTGGAGGCCAAACAACTTAAGAGCTGGATTTTCACTCTTAGCATTCTAGTCAGCAAGATCGCTGACTTCCTTAGCATTGAGGGAGAGAGAGAGAGAGAGAGGGAGAGAGTCATGTAAAAAATCAAGCTGTGAATCTGTAAGGGAGTTGCCTTCGAACAGCCCACTAGATTGAAATATTATGTTTTTTTTTGCACCTGCACCTGAGTAAAACCACAGAACTTTACAGCGTAGGAAAGGCCATTGTGTCTGTGCTGGCTATTTGAAAGAGCCCCATTCACCACAGAGCTGGACAATAGGAAACTAAGTCACGACCATAACTATATCAGCATTCCGGGCACACGGTCACGGTGGCTCTTAGAAGAACAGAACAAATGAATCAAATTAAACATTACGAGCAGCAGTTTGATTGTGGCCGAAGACAATTGGCAACCATTTGCCAGGCTGAATATTTGCCAATTCGGCACTTAAGAATAACGGTCTTTACTCTTTGGCAAGCCTTTTCTTTGAAGTGCTTTTGGAGACACTGCGATGCCACGCACGTCAAGCACAGGATTGTGTCACTCAAGTACAATGTCATCCCGACAAAGAAAACGTAGCTTACGGTCTGACTCCTCCACTCCAGCTTATCTGGAGGTTTATTGGCCAAACAAAATGAGGCTTGGAAATTCTGAGTCACCCGACTGATGTCGTCGAACAACGGTGTAACGAAGAAAAACTAAGAAACTACAATACTTACGGGCGTGAGCCAGACTGAGAGCCCAAAGCCGCAGGTAGGAGGCTGTGTTAGACACGCACCCCAAACAGTATTCGATCGTGTGGATGGCCTGATGCACAGCAACATCGCCAAAGTTAAACTGCAAGCAACAGATCATAGAAAAGGGTTCCTTTACACAGGGCAGTGAAGAACAGACCGCATTCTAAAGTCGTCAGATCACATACAACTTGAAAAGTCAGACACACAAAAAGCAACTGCAGTAAGCTTTCATTTAAAAACACAGGATGGCAATCTTACACTGATTAAAATCAGGGAAGACAAAACCTTCTTATAGATAAGTCATAGAATCTTACAGCACAGAAGGAGGCCATTCGGCCCTCGTGCCTGTGCTGGCTCTTTGAAAGAGCCACCAACTAGTCCCACTGCCCCCGCTCTTACCCCAATAGCCCTGCAAATTTTTTTTTCCTTTTTAAGTACCTATCTAATTCCCTTTTGAAAGCTATGATTGAAGCTGCTTCCACCACCTTTTTAGACAGTGCGTTCCAAACCGTAACATCCTTCTGGATAAAAAAAAGTCACGTAGAGTAATCGTATAAAGAGAGACATTCTTGCAAGAAAAGCTAATTTCAGTTTCATGCCATTCTTTGCAGTATTAGATCTACCAGTTTGTGTTTCAGTTGCTCTCAACGCCCCCTTTCACCACAATACTGTGAAACACACCTCATGCGGATGAACATAAATACTTTCTTTAAAGCCATCAGGTCTGAATACACCAAGCTTAATGCGACGGCAGACGTCAAACACCAAGAAAAACACTTGAATGGAAAGGCTAAAGTAACTTACACATCCCAAAGAAGGGAAAGAAACTAAACAAAGGAAGGCCATATTTTGCAAACTTCACATATTCACATTACGGTTCATTATCGGGAAATCTTGCAAAAATAAACTCGTCGAAAGCAAGATTAAGGTCATATCAATTTCCAAAGGACATTCGTCTGAAATTTGAAGCGATAACGAGTCTAGACTGATCGTGCAAGTGAGGAATCAAGCAAACACAGAAATAGCAATGCAGCAGATCTTCCTTACCACTTCCTCCTCAGCAAGCTTGTAAAAAAGTTACATGTTTATTGCAGATTAACGCAATGAGAATGTACGGTTAGTAAGATTACCAATGCATGCAGACTTCACCACATATTAGAAGCCGCAAGTTAATAGAAGCCCACACATTAATCCCACCAGGTCACGGCAAAGCATTATTATCCGTGCAGTTCCTGTAACAGCAGAACGAGGAGGTCTCGGAGTACAGTGTACTGTATAAACATTTTTTTAAAAATCTCTCACCGGAATTAACAAAGGCTACAACTGAAAGGAGTTCGATTCTGATAACAGAAAAAGTGCGATGGAAAGAAAAGTGAAATGAAGGAACGTTTTAAAACCACTTTAAAAGCTTAAAAGAAAAATTGACAGCATGTGTGGCGCATGCGATTGTGAGGAAGAATGAGAGAATGACTATACAACACGAGATGCTATTTCTCTGATAACTGGGTTGAGTTTAACACTGAACAAACAAAGAGGGGAAAGAATACATCCCATGTTCACAGCAGCAAATTGTTTGGGGTGGGGGTGGTGTGGCGGTGGGGGGGGAAGTGCAAAAACAACCAGAAATGGTTTGTAATTAGAACTGTGTTAACCTTCAGCACTTAGATAATTCAACATATATCCAGGAAATGCAGCTTTCGAACACTAGTCGCCAAAAGGATTTACTGCATTTATCACAACAAAATAGATCAGATTCGAGTCCTAATGTTAACCAAAACTTATGCTTAGACTACTTATTTATTTTTTATTTACACACACACAAACGCACTATGCAAGTTCTACACGCCTCAACCAAAAGTGGGCAAAGTTAGCGAAGGCTGGCACTAACTATAGAGATCTCTACACACTAGCTTGACCCACTGGGAAAGGCAGAACGGGGAGGGTGGTGGGGTGGAGAGGGGGTGGGGATGGAGAAATGCAGTGAAAGTGGGTGCTGATCACAAGAATGTAAAGCGTTCAGCCACACCAGCAAACCTCTCCCAACAGAGACCTGTGCTGAAGATTATTCCTCGTCAATAGCTCTGCAGAAGATTATACTTAATACTAATAAGCGTTACAGGAACCCCACAAGAGTGAAGATTAGCAGAAACGAAATGCCGATGCAAAAAGCCAGTGGAACTTAATGGTACTGGATGGTACTTACATCTTCCCCATCCTCTGAATGGGTATCAAGCTGGTCATGTTGGATTATCTCAGCATCTTCTTCAGTTGGTCCATTGCCAACTCTTATTCCACCAAAGTTATGTGTACCCTATGCATTGGCAAACAAACATATTGTGAAAGGTGGCAACGGTTTTAAGAATAGGTCAAATGTAGATGAAACCTCCTTGATTTTTTTTTTGGGGGGGGGCAGGTGGCAGATAGGATGTTTTCTCTATCCCTCCGCCTTGCCCCTTCCTTCCCCATCTTCAGATCAAGCCTTAAGACTTTCCTCTTCGACCGCGCCTATGGTCATCTCCCCCCTCCCCCAGGCTCGATGTTGTGCTTTGTCACTGTCAAGCTTTCTGAGACGCTACCCAGCCTGAGGGGCGCTATATACATGTAGCTTGTTGTTATCCCAATTCTACCACAGTGAACAAAGTCACCTACTTTGATCAGTTTGCAATTATTCTGGTCAAGGAACATAACTTCGTTCAATTTTTCTCCCCTCCTCCCCCAAGATCAACGTCTTCAGTCTTCCATCTCTTTCCTTTCCAACGGGATAATCTTTGGGAAACTGAGTCCACCTCGTCGATCGTGATGTGAGCAACCAAGAATACAGAGAGGATGGCATTATAGCCTATCGCTGTGTCTCAGGCTCACTAGCTTTTGGGTCTGAACTTTCTGCCTCTGTCTCTCCTGATACGCCAATTGAACAAGAGGAGTTAAATTCAGCACCTGTTGCCTCGATGCTATTTATTGCTAATCTGATAATCTTGATCCGAGTTGACAAAAAGATGGTTGCTGTAAGAATGGAAAGGTTGCAATACGACACTCTTCTGAAGTTAATCGCAAGGTTCAGTGTTGGGCCACGGGGTATTGGCTTACACTGAGGTAAGGTGTTCCTCTTTCATTAGTACGTTGTCAATGACGGTTTCAGGCACCTCACTCGATGACTCCCAGCTCAACTCCAGTTACAAATTTACAAAAAAAAACAATTAAACGTTTAACATTCTCCACTCCAATTCCACGCAAGTCCTAGAGTCAAAATTTGTTCTCGATCTACCTTCAAAAAAAGCTACACAGCTTCAATCGTCCTTGTAGTTTGCTATAAGACTACTTCTCTGTCTGCGAACAGAGCCATAATGTCTCCCTATCACATTACATTATTTCCATCCAATTTCTTGATCCAATGCTACCACCATGGTAATATCAACTCTTCAGGATTTTCTCTCCCATCCATGTTTTACCAAGTTTATTTCAGCTAACAAGCCTCAGGAACCGCTAATAGTTGAACCAAGTATACACAGAGTCAACGCTTGGTGAATTACAAGGCAAATCAACGTGCTCAAGAAGACCTTACCAATCATAAGCGAAGCTGAAAGAGTTTATAAAATCAGCAGAACTGGGAGACTCAGTTACTGTGTAAACTCACTGACAATGTAGGCTATAAACATCTTTTATAAAGTACTTATCTACATGCAGTAGGGTGAGGCACGATAGAGAAGCACGACATGAGGAGACGGGCAAAGAAAGACACACAGGTTGGCATGATATGGCAGTGAGTGGTCAATAAGATTGTAATGTTTTTCTGCTGAGGATCAGCAGAAAACATTTACAAAAGTTACCGAAAAAAAGGTACATGATAATAGGTGAAACAGAGAGGAGGGGGAGAAAAGTTCCCTTTTTCCCAACTCATTCCCTTAGAGGAAAAACACATTACCAGCGAAGTAATCATCAAAACTTGAGAAGATACATACAGACATGAAGGGCCACCTGTATTGAAAAGTTCTTCCTTAACTAAAATCTTAGGTCAAACTCAAAACGAATATTTTATTTTGTTTCGCCCCACAAAATATACAGTCAAGTCACTTTACAGTATATCCTTTGAAGTGCTTAGAGACGTCTAAGGAGCTCATATCAAATGCAAGGATTATTATTATTATTATTAGCCTGGTTTAACCAGTGGTCAATTTCCATATTGCAATCTAAAATAATAAATGGATAAAGCAGGAATACTGAAAGTTAAAAATGAAGAAATGAAGGAAAAAACAGAGTTGCAGTAAGCAAGGAATGACTTCTGAAAAATACTTTAATGTTTTTAGCAGTGTTAAAATTGCAGCAACAAACCTATCCATACTATTTTTATTTAAAAAAAATTTAAGCCTTTTTTAATAATAAAAGCAACACACGGCAGAAGCTAAACATGTTCAAGGGCAATTAGCTCAGGTAGATATTTTATTCCCTGGACTCAAGTCAAATCTCACAAGCTGAGACTTGGAATAGTTGGAGAACTGGGTGACAAAGTGGATCAGGAACAGGAGGAGGCCAACCAGCCCCTCGAACCGGTTCCACCATTCTATAAGATCATGGCTGATCTGTACCTCAACTCCAATTACCTGCCCTTGCCCCACATCTCTCGATACCCTGACCCAACAGAAATCTATCCATCTTGAAAATTTGAATTTTCATTTGGTTCTCCAACAAGTCTAGCTAACGGGTCTCGCTGAGCGGTGTGGCTTGCTTACTGTCCCATTATTCACATCGTCCAACAAGGATCAAAAAAAAATGTTGTACCAAAAACTCACCAAATGCTTCTTCCTCAAATATTGATGACGTAGCACCAATGGTTTGACCACCAGCATACACGGGACGCAGAGCAGAGCCACGACCACCAAGAACGACTGCAGGCCTTTCTGTTAAAAGGTAACACAAACCACAGTTAGTTCGGTGTGCGTGGAGAAAGGAGACTTAAAGCTCACCATCAATTTCTCAGCGCCTTGGGACGTCCTTCTGACGTGAAAGGCGCTGTACAAATTTAAATTGTTGTCGTTCTCAAAGACAGCGCTCCAGAATGGAAAAGACATCACAAAAGAATGAAAGAGACAGAAGACAGATACACGGCTTTACACCAAGATTCCTACTCATTTTATTGACTTTGAAAGAGTGACCTGCTAATTGGACCCACTGAGATTTGAACCCTAAAATATTCTGGCCCCAAGTTAACCTCCTGAGGGTTGGGAAGGAAAGAGGAAACGTAAAGTATTTAGACAGTCACAAAAGGTCAATTGTTAGTTTCTTAGTGGCAACCTGAAAATGTTTCCAGCATTTTTGTTTTGTGCAAGAGATTGTGCTGAAAAATAACTTCAGCACAGCTTAGGACCAGATGGCTCATGATCAAACTCTGCAAGCATCTCCCAAATAGATAACACACCTGTCCAGTGTAAAGATACTTCATGGATTTGTCGTTGTAGCTGAAGAGGAACATGTTGATGAAGTGGATGAGAAGGCTGGGAGCATCCTTCGACCTGGCAGCATCATACGCACACCATTTGTAGAAGATTAGGATGACAAGGTAGCCAAACAACGTTAGCATGAAGATCATTTCAGGGATGAAACTGAAGTAGATGTTCAGGGGCTTTTTAAAGTATCTAAAGAGAAAGAATATACTTCTTTGTTATTAGCAGAACGACCATCATCAATTGCTGCAGTTAAACAACAATGTAAACTACACTATTCTGTGAAAATTGACACAGGAACATCGAAGAATGCGGCACAGGAAGAGACCATCACAACTCTCTGACGTGTCAAGTTTCTAACACCATTCCTTCCCTTCTCTCCTACTTCCAATCCTCACGTCCGCAAACATATACATTTCTCTCCCTGAATAATCAATACGATCCATCTCCTCTGTCTTCCCAAAACACATCTGTACATTCATCTGAGACCAGCCCAAATGCATGGTCTCCATTTGTGCTGCTCGCTTTCTTTGACTGTAGCTGTGACATAAATCGATGAACTCACATATGATTCAGAAGACTGAGCGAAACCCCAAAGACCATCTGGACCACGCCCAAAATCACAGACATCTTCATCTTGAAGGAGTTGAGGAAGGTCAGCTTGTTTGAGGCGATATTCCAGATCTGTGCGACAAATCAATAAGAAGTTGAAGCAAACTTGTGCAGCATCTGTCTGAGGTTGTCATGGAAAAGGCTTGAAATTAGTAAGAAAGCCCGGTGGCATTTTTCACATTTTTCATCCAAAAAAATACTCTGCATTACAGTACATCCTACAAAGTACTTTGAGATGTCTTCCCACATGAAAAGGTGCAGTACCAAATGCAAGGATTATCACTGCACAAACCACTATTCATCTTGGGAAAAAACCTGAAAAACAATGCAAACTTCAGAAATGAGGGAGACTCAAGTTAAAATTAGAAGAAACCAGACTTTTCTGGTAAGGAGAGGAATAGTGGGTTGGATTTTAGTTTGTAACTAACATCATGGATTGTTCTGAGAGAAAGAGGATACGTTTTGCTAAAGTCAACTTACAGGGTCGATTCCAAATGGATATGGTCCATTGAAGACCTTTGGTACAGCGGGATCCAGCTGAAGGTTCCTATGTGTTTCAAGAGTTTCGTGGCTGTCAAGAGCAGAAAGGTACAGTAATTATTAATCAGTTTTAACCTTCTAGCAATGTTTGTGTAGCCAGCGTTATGGGCCAAGGAGATTTACCAATTTGCAATAATTTAAGACCTTCAAGGCACGTCTCAAGACCCTCCTCTTTGACCGCGCCTTCAGCCACCGTCCTACCCCTACCCTCCCTGCCCCCCCAAACCTCCTGATCCCAAATCTCTGACTGTCTAGGGCCTTGGCACGTCCTCCTGACATAAAAGGCGCTATACAAATGTAATTTGATGCTGTTATTTCAGAACCATCTTCACGGTGGGAAAATAGAATAGACGAGAGAACAGTGCGTAATTTGGGAGTTAGCACACTCGTAATATGAATGAGGAGGTTTTCAGCACACACATTCGGATCTGAATCAAGCATTTTATCTCCCGATGCACATAAGCACCCGATGGATCTTGTGCGAATAACAAAACTCGACAATTAGAGAAGAGAATCTCTTAGAACCACAAAACAGAAGCATCATAGAGGAAGCAAGATGTAAATTCCAATTTAATCTAAATAGATTTAACTTCCAATTTCTTAATAAAAGTGAACTTCTTGTTGACTTTCACATGGCCAGTTCTACAATACTTGCCTCCAATTTCCTATGGGCTGAAACATTGGTCTTACGCTCCATGACGAACCAAACATGTTGAGAGTCTTCGAGAAGCAGTCATTGTAGATGAATCCCGTGTACACAGAGAATATGCCCATGAGCAAAATAATATAGCGACCATGGAAGACAGTGTTGAACATCTGTTAAGAGGGGAGGAAAGTCAAACGTAAGCGTTAAGGGCAGTCAAAAGCACCAATGATAATGATAGGGGTACAGCTCTGCGGGATGCCCTCCCAATATGAAAGGCGCTATAATAATAATAATAATCCTTGCATTTAATATAGTGCTGACATAGATGTAATGCGTTGTTGTTGTTGAGTTCAACAACTGATACTGCAGTGTTGAAGCACCTTATCGCTCAGTTTACAGATGCAATGGAATTGGATCAACTTAAATTTAACTTGAAGCATAAATGGCTGAATGCCCCATTTTTGTGAAGTTCTAACTGTACGATTCTATGATCGGTTTCCCCTCCTAAACATTGGCTGGAACATTTCAGCAATGAGCGATAACATGTCACAATAAGCACCCAAATAACCTTCCAGGTATTAAAATCATACGGCGATACAGGTCTGTACCAGGCTATGAAGTGTACCTCATTGTCGTTTTTCTGGGACAATATACGGTTCTCTCTCACAACCATCCACACAGCGAACGCAGTCAGCAGAGTTCCGTGACCCAAGTCCCCAAACATCACAGCAAAGAGGAAGGGGAAGGTTATAATCGTATAAGGAGCTGTGGAAGAAAGGAAATGCAGCCATTAGGGCACCAATTAACAGGCCTTTCATTACGAAATTCAGTTCGCTAACAAGATAAGGTACTTTCTCAGGAAATGAGCAGGAAAGACCAAAGAGCTGCTCTTACCAGGGTTGATCTCCCTGTAAGTGCCAATCCCGTACGCGTCCACTATGTTTTGAAACCCAGAAGTAAATTTGTTGGTCTTGTTGTAAGTTGGGGGAGTCTGGCTGGTTTGCATCCTGTTCAAGATGGACGGCACTGTGGACCCACTGTGTTCCTACACACACACACACGCACCCAAGAGAAACAGGGACAGATTACTTTACAGGAGCCTACATTTTCTTTAGGCAGATTTACTCTGTTGATGACTGTCATGGCACCTATCTGTGCTACAGTCGAGAGCGTCACAGAGGCAGATTTATACTCTCAGGCGAGTGCATTGAGTGGATTACAAAATGCTCCTATTTAGGTTGCGTCTCCTTGTGAACTGGTGTAAGTGTTCTCTGCAGGCTACGCGTGCCAAGCAGATAAATGCAAACTACAAACTAGAGGTTCTATTAGGAGCAGGCTTACGTACCGTTCCTCTGCGGAGAGCAAACTGGATGGAGTCGAGGTCAGTAACTGGACACCAGACCTCAGCAATGAGGCACTTCTGAGTGACGTCAATGTTGCAGAGGTTGAGGGTGTGGTAGATGGCCTTCATTTTACGTACTTTGATGAACCAAACGCGGGTAGTCTTTGCGGCTGTCTGCAAGACCCTCTGACGGTGATCCTCGGTCTGATTTAAGACCTAGAGAAACGCATTCAAAACATATTTGGAGAATGGTTTCGCAAACCGAAATACGTCGCGTAGAACTTTTGCTTCGACAGAGAATGTAGCACAATGTTCAACACTCAAAATCTTCTCAAATACTGCTTTGCAGAGGTTACACTGGCACAAAGCACATAGGCATTTTGACATCCAGGTTTAACCAAGGAAATCTGAGACACTGCTGCGTTAAATGAGGACTCCAAACCACACTTAAGAACATAAAGATTTACTGGCGACAGAAGATCAAGGTCCATCCAGTTCACCTTCCACCATCCTGGCAGTCGCTTGACATACTGTATCCCGAGATATTATTTCCTAACCGGAATCTATCTAATTTGTTCTTGGGGGAAAAAAAAATGACTCTTTCTGCTTCCACTGTCTATCTCCCTAGAAATGCACACGGAATACAAATAAGAGCAACGGAGAACGGAATACAGCCACCGATAAATGGATGACGCACCATTTGAAGGTCGTCGATTCTTGTGTTGACGCCCGCTAACATTTCCTTCCGTTCCTGCGGAGTTTCTGGGCAAGGATACAGTGAGGCCCGGAACCTGCAACAGCAAGGTAGGCGCGTGAGCAACAAGGTCTGAGTTCAGCTGTTAGTACGTCCATGTTAAGAGTGCGTAAGCTACGGCCATTTAACCTGCACTTTTTTTCCCAGCAAAACCACTGTATTTATTTTGTTTTTTTGATCGGGCTTACGGTCACCTCCCAATCCACGGCTGTTTGTGTGGCACGCTGCTGTGCGCAATTGGCTGCCGTGTTTCGCCCACAAAATGTACAGTCAATCCACTTTACAGCATATTCTGTGAAGTGAGCCGTTCACTTACCCTTCACAGATTTTCTTCACGCGGTTTTTAAGCTGATCACCTTGAAAGAAAATGATGAAGACGGACTTGTCCACTTGACCGCCCTAACAAAAAGGAACAGATTTTCCACGATCACACACTAACAACACAACTGCTCAACTCAACTGTAACAGTTACAGAAGCAAAAGGATGAAAGCCTCTCGGCAGAAACCAGGATTGTGGAAATGAAACCGGCTCTTGTTCAAGGTACGTACATCCACTGGGTCCTCCAAGGGGTTATCGATCTCAGCCTGTCGTAGAAAGACGTTCCCTCTGCACACTCGCCACAGCATCCGCTCGAACATCGGGATCCTCTCTCGCTTTATCACTCCGGCCACGAAGCTGTATGTAAAGCAATGCACACGCGGTCACTGAAGAGGCTGTGCGTGCACGTGTTTCTACCTCAGATAATTCACAGACAGGTATTGTGTTCATGTGGGGAGGAGGAAGGGAAGGAAATAGATAAAATAAAGTAAAAATAAAATAACCCCCCCACCAGACAAACTTGACAAGATGACAAACTTTCCTACAACAAAATATAACAAGAGCCATTAATTAATTAACACATGAAACGCTCAACTTGTGTACGATTTGGAAAATTTGAAGGGAAGTTATTCAATTCAAATCGGAGAGAAAACTGGATTCGACAGCCTAATAAGCACAACTAACCATTCATCTGCCACTTGTGATTTACAGGGTCATGTGAACCTCCACTTGGTACAACACTTTGCCACATGGCCATTAATCTCAGTAATGTTTGACTATTAGGAGAGGAGATAATTTTTTTTGCGCTTGTCCAGCTAGTTCTGCCCAACCCTTTAGGGCTTTGGCTCGGAAGACTGAGGGCCAGTTTACGTCAAGAACCTAGATAGACTGCTCAACCCATCAGCATTGCTTGGTATTACCGTACACCTGCCCGGTGTGAGTTAGCAGTTGCTTTTCCTTCCACTAAAGAGACCAACGAGAGGAAGCAACCTTAAAAAGCTGAAGGAGCTGTGAATGAACTCACTCGGGTTCATACCCAAATGGCGTTAACTTGAACAGTCAACTGAGATAGGGACCTTAGGTGTTGGACAGGGATCAACCCTCAGACCATTAATGAGTAAATAAACAAAAGGCAAAATACTTCAGGTGCTGGAAATCTGAAATAAAAACAGACGTCGCTGGGAACACTCAGCAGGTCAGGCAGCATCTATGGAGAGAGGAAAGTGAGTGAACATTTCAGGTCGATAGCCTTTCATGGTGGTGTTCATGACGAAAGGTGATTGACCTGAAGCTTTAACCCACTATCCTCTCTCCATAGATGCTCCCTGACTGATGGTCGAGCTTTTAGTCATCAGCCCCCGGAACTCTGAACCATCTTCCTCTATCCCTCCGCCTTGCCCCCATCATCAGGTTGCGCCTTCCTATTTGACCGTGCCTACGGTCACCTGCCCCCCCGGTGTCGTGCTCCGCCACTGTCGAGCGTTCTGAGGCGCAACCCTGCGTGAGGGGCGCTGTGTAAATGCAAGCTGTTGTTGTTGACCTGCTGCGTGTTCCCAGAGACTTGTTATCATTTATTAACGAGTAAATGGAAGTTACCCAAGTCTGAGAGGAGCACCTCGTCCCACTTCACTTGGCTCCAGCAGCGATGAGGACTCCTCCAACAGGTCTGGATCTGACATCTGCTGATGATGCAATTCAGCCTGAATTCACAAATCAATTAGCAAACTATGAAACCAGCTAGTGGCATGCGGGAGGGAACCGGGAACCAGAGGAGGAAAAGGGGAGGGGGAGAAAAAGTAAAAAAAAAAAACACGTGAAACGACACACACAAACACAAACACACGTACAAACGAACGAACAAACCAAAAAGAAGGTTGAAACCCTGAATCGTGAAAACTACAGGTGATCGAGCGATGAATAGAAAAAAGGGAGAAGCCGCGAGAAGCTTCATTCGTGCAAGTTGAGCAAAACATTTCTGACAAGGCTCGAGTGAGATCAAACTCAATGTACCATTTACAGCCGTACATGCTGAAGGTGAACAGTCAGTTACAGAAGTGGAAATTCCTTTCCTTAGTCAAAGTATAATTCAAAGGTAATATTGATCAGACAGTACAGCCAATTTCTCTGTTTAAAAGGGTTGTTGGGTGGGTTTTTTTTNCGCGGCATTTCATGGAAGTTGGTTTTCCCGAATAAACAAAACTGTCCTTCTGCAACGGTTCGGTACAAGGATGGAAGCTGCGGCCTCTTAGCAATGGGTAAACGGAGGTGAAGAAAGGTGACGGATTTGATGTAAAGGATGAATGTACCCTACTAGCAAGCGCCAGCTGAGTTCACCCACGTTTTAGCTGATTCAGACTAGACATGAGGCAGCAGGTGAAGGGGATGTCCTACACTCTTAATGCTCCAAGAATCTTGAGAGTAGTCACAATGTTCAAGCACATAGCGGGGTTCCGAAAGAGACCCTTTTTTTTTCCCCCAATAGTAAATTAAAAATACTCACTTAATTGTGTCAAAGGGCTGCTCAATTATGCTTTTCATTTATAAATTCCTTTTTCGTGTGTGCATCCAGTCAACAATGGGAGAGGGGGCAGAGGAGGGTGGGGGAGTGTGGAAGGAAATGTGATGTTGCTATGTCTGATCAGCTACAGACTAAACCTAGCATATTTCTGGACTCAGTTTCACGCTACAGGCCAGTAGACTTTTTCAACGAATTCACAACTAAAGGCACATCGAACAATCTATCCTGATTTCCACGAGTTCAGAGCTTGAATGAGTCTCGCATTAACTGCCTCTCTTCCCCCCCCCCGCCTCCTTGTCCCACTCTCTCCAAATTGTCTGACGTGAAACTTCAATTCCATTCAATGCTGCAATTAACACTTTGTTTGGTCATTTGCCTTTACTTATAAATTTCCACCGCTGCAAAAATGACATCACAGACAAGAAGTGAAGATTTTCACACACACACACACAACACAAATTGAAAACTAGTTAGGAATTTAGAAGTTGTCTACCACGCTGTGTGCTTTAATAATGTGTCTGCCGTTAAACATTGCCGATCTTTAAAAGTTGCTCATCAACTTTCGTTGGAACACGAACGGACTAATGGACTTTAGAACCCTTCGACCGATCCATTTACGGAAAGTTTATGAACTGGATAAAGTCAAGTGTGCACCTAATGGCTTTATCTGTAAACAAAGCTTAAAACCCTGCTTTACAAGCTTTTGCTGACCTGAACTTCTGCACTAAAATTAGAAAAGATTAATTTAAATATTGGCTGTGCTTAGCACAAACGAAAGGGTGGGAGAGAGAAAGATAAATTGTTTATTTAAATGGGTGTAACTACATAACACAAGCGATGAATGAAACCTGGTAGCACTTCAGGGCTTGTGCTTACATAGTCTTAAAATTTCCTTATCGTAAAAAAAACTGAAAGGAATGAAAAACCTACCTTGCATTGAAGGAAAGGCAGCCATGAGGTTGTGATTAGGATCTTGGTGGAATTTGAACCCAGTTCCCGGAGGTGAATGGTCACATTTACCATCCAGCACCATTCACAATTCTTTTAGTGAAAGTAAGTCAGTGTGTAATTTGCTAAAAAAAATAATAATTAAAGCTCGGGGCAAAATATTCCTCATCACCGAGTGTAGCGACTTTGATTACAATAGGATTGTGTTTAAGAGGAATGGTTCCCGTTGGCTCCATTTTAATCGATTTGCTTTCTAAGCTAAAGAAGTCATCACCCACTGCGAACCCGAGTTAACGCTCTGATAAGCTTTGGATTAAAGACGTGGAGGAGGGAAACTTCTAAATTCACAGCCATTAAAGAAATCTTGAAAACGATTCTGTCCTGAGCAAGAAAGGGCTTGTCTTGTACATCAAGACCACTCGTTTCAAATGAGGAGAGTTGCGCTCGTAATGAGAACCTCTTGTTAATCCCCGTCCCACGAAATTAATGGCTCACATTAGCTAACAATGGACCTCACCTGAATTCTAAATGAATCAGGGTAGATCCCTCTCAAAGAGGATTATTGTCATCAGTATTTAAGATCAATAGTTCAATGCTTGGTGTCTTCCAGCTGGAATGGGAGGGACAAGAGTTTCTCCCACTTTTTCTGCTGCAAAACTTTTGAACTCCAGGACACCCTCGGAGAGAAAGGGGCTATAGAAATAGAGAGTTCAGGCACTTGAAGCTCCCTCGCAGAAGTGAATTGGGACATGACATTCCTACTAAACAGAGAGCCAGTGTGTGACACATGCTGCATCGCCAATACTTGTTGTGACATATCTTCAAGTAGACAAAAGACTGATTGTGCAACGTATGCGAAGTACAGACAACACGCCCTGCTGGAAGATTGCGTTCGGGGATCTAGTTAAGTGCAATTTACCAATTGAAAATAAAATGGGCCTGTAAATCATTCAAATGATGTCTATAATCTGCTGAAGTTTGACAGCGTCTTCAATCTTCAAGTCAGTCTTAGCATCTGCCCAAACATTTATATTATTGCTATTTCGTGGGCGTACCTAGACGCCTCGAACCATTCTATGGAAAGGTACTTCTTCAGACGGCATTGTAACCACCTGTCCTACCTACATTCAGTCTCTGACTATCGTTTTCAAAACGCATTGGAAATTATAAAGCTGCAATTCAATCAACTTTTTTTGCATACGTCCATAAACCACCACCCCCCCCCCCTCCCCCTCGTACTTGCTGTTTGCAAACTGATTCAATTCTTTTTTTCAAAACTTTGCTGATTAGTTATTTCACTGAGTTTCTCAATCCAATGGCCGTTTTAATTCTAGGCAGATTTCAAGCTCATTTTGTACCCATTTTTCCCCAAAGCTAAAAAATTTCAGCACAATCACAAAGCACAGACACCCTCAGATAGTGAGCTCTGCCAGACTGCCTTAAGATGCAGCAAAGTATAACTCTCTATTGGGGAACCTTGAAAAATCTCTTGCGAAATATTGTTTTCATAATCCTGGAGAGGATTTGGAGACAGACTCAAACAAAGCTAAGCAATGCTTTGTAGCTGTTGAATATTTGAAGAATTTAAAACAAAAATCAAAAGATTTTCAAACTAATTCCATGGGACAGGAATAAATCAAGTGTGGTCGTTCCCGTAAACTGTGTGATTTTAGGGTTCAATTCCCCCAGTCGACAGCCAAGAGGCAGAGCTGGTCATTGCGTACAAGGGAGTATATTCCTTGTAGAGTGAACAATACAAGCCCCATCCTGAGTGAAGGTTGTTCTCCACTAAGAAACCGGCAGGTCTCAAGAGATTCAACTTTAGAATTAACCGGTAATTACTATTTCACTGGGCAGTATGATATTAACTGGGTTGCGGTTAAAAAGGTTGAAATAGTTGGGACACCTAATGCAAGTGTCAAATGGTCAAACCTGCAGCTCTGTAATGGAGAAGACCAAACCCATCAGTCCTGAATTTCTCAAAGATTGTAAAGAGAGAGAGAGAGTTATTTATAGAAAAAGAAACACTGGATCACATTGGGACAGATCACTCAAACCAAACAAAATAAGGAACAGAATGAAGAAATGAAGATTTACAGGAAAGCAGTAGATGAGGGAGAGTGGAAGGGAAGGAAGGAAGGAAAGGGAGAGGGAGGGAGGGAGGGAGGGGAGGTAGGATTTTGCATGCCATTAGCTGTTACTTTTCCAGTCTTCCTTAGATTCCTGCACTTATGGCTTCTTACGCTGTAAGATTCAAACTTATCTCTTCAGTTGTTACTGCCTACGTGTTTAAAACAAAACAGAAGACTGGGAAAAGGACAAACATGATTAACATACTCCTTATTCCTCCAGCTGCCAACGGAGATGGCTGAAGATTTGGTTACGCAAAGGCAATTCAACATATACAGTGCCACCACTGGAATGAATGCCTCATTGTGGGAACCACATACTGGAGCCAACAGAATAAAACTCGTGTTGGCCATGAGACAATGACATAGAATTATCAACGGGCACTTCTCCTCAGATGTCTCCAATTGACAGTTCATTACCATAACACACAGTTTGTAGAGATACTGAGTACTTGATTGGAGTATCCAATTAGAGTAATTGACCAGACAAAATATGCTACAACAATCTTAAGAGCTGGATACAGACAGACTCAAACTTAGTTATGGAATCAGAGCATTGCACTGTTCAGCCATGGATATACTTTGTGTCCAAAAATATTGAGGCAAAGTAAATACTGAAAAAAACAATAATTGTTAAGCAAACTGCCTTTACAGAGTTTCTTCCCTCTCTCACCCTGCCCGAACTCTCCTGAACACACGGTCTATTTAAATTATAGTTCCACAAATGCTTCCACAAATGCTGGTAACTCACCCAACTGGCCATTCATTCTTTGATTCCAAGTTCTGGCAGCCTATTCAACTGCGGAGTGCACCACAGCATGGCCAGAACGCTGCTTTGTCTGACATACACTTACGTGCAATTTCCTGCAGGATTCAGTGGGCATCTATGCTGATTTTATTCCCACTCTCTTTCGCCCAGTCCCACTGAGATTACCTGAATCATCACAGATGAGGGATTTTACACTAGCGACCCTCTGGTCTGTAGGACTCAGTGCTTTATTTATGCTTCCTTTAAAAACAATGTTACGTAAAATTTACAGCGCAGAAACAGACCGTTGGGCCCAACTGTCTCTGCCGGTGTTTATGCTCCACGTGAGCCTCCTCCTGCCCTTCCTCAACATAACCTTATGTCCTGTCTCCTCACGTACTTCACCTTAAATGCATCTATGCTATTCGCCTCAACTACCCCTTGTGGTAACAAGTCCCACATTCCCATCACTCTCTAAGTAAAGAAGTTTCTTCTGAATTCCTTATGTCTAATAATAACTTGGAAGAATAATACTGGGTAGAAGCCAGACACTGGTTAAGACAACATACTGGATAGCCTCATAAAGTGGCCCTGAGCTTGGCTTCCAACCTGAAGTTCAAATTTCAGCCCTATCAAAGAATCAAACCTCCTGCTCCAGTTGAACGAGTTCAACCAGATGCAAGTCAGACATGAGCTGCACTGTACTGTAGGCATTTCCAACCCAGCTCGGAAGGCTAACAAGCCAACAACCTGGGTGGCCACCACACCACAATTACGGGCGTCACAGTAAGGTCAACCTCAGTTGACCAAAAGATTCAGAATCAGCCACGCAAGGTTTTTTTTTGGGTGGGGGGGGGGTCAGCTGCACGTTTCAAGACACCCGGCTGGCCAAATAAAATGTAAGCCAAGTCCCAGATGGACCGTGCTTGAGAAGGGACCGATGCGAGTGGGAAGAGAAGTAAGTTTTTTAGCAGAATGTAGCCAAACCTATACAAATAGGGTCAATGGCAAGCAAGCTGCAACCTTTTTCCTGTCACCTCAATGACTAGGGTTTCACGCGACGCACCGAAGCAGTTTGAGTCTGTATCTGTATAGCATTTTTATGACAAAAATCGCTGTTTTCCAAAATAACAAATCTACAAACCGGAATAGAATTCATACTGAGGAAAAAGCTCACTTCATTCCTTTCAATCACCTCTAGTGATGGCGATTTGCAATCTGAATTTTGAGGTGATTCATTAAACCAAACTTTTTTGGGAGGGAAGTTAAACCATTTCTCTGATGGCAGCTGTTCATCATTGTGCATATCTATTTCAATGTTTATATCAATCAATGGTCAAAGTCCCTCTCATAAGAGGAGAAAGTCTTCAAGTGCAGAGTGTACTGATTGCAATGAATAAACACACAAGGCCACGAGGTCCTAGCAGTTCACCAACAGACTGGAATTGATATCAGACCAAGTGCAGGCTTCCTTACCTTTCAAAATGTATTTATCAAATAGCTTTGAATTCAAATTTTCCAGATTCCCAGGCATAATGTGCATATTAAAAACTTTATCTACCAATCCTATCGGTTTTAGATGGTCTGAAGGGCATTTTTCATCCAAATAGATCTTGTGCTGGGCACAATCTAGCGAATGAACAATTTTATCATTTAGCAGCTGCCTGATTAAAATAGCTGAAGAGCCACAAACATATATGGATTGAATATGGTTGACTGATATGGCAGGGGTGGGGGAAATAGATGGTGCAAGCAAAATAAAATAAAAGTCTTCTGTGCTGTCACGAGTTTAAAATTCCTAAAGTCCCTGGAAAGTGTCATTGCAACTGCACCCCAGAGAAGGTAAGCAATGTACACTTGTCTGTTCAGTGATACTTCGCACTTGAAGAACTTTCACGCTGTATTCAAATCTTAACACATTAAGGTGCCCAAAAAGCATGAGATCCGCCACCAAGAGAAGTGCACTCCAAGGCATCCCGGACACGCAAGTAAGTGCTGCTGGCAGAAAAGGAAAATGAGTGGAATTTTAAAATCGTGCACTATTACCGTAAACGCATAATATCGATCAGCACGTGAATGAGGTTTGATGAAATGGCTTTGAGAGGAAGTATTACGTTTTCTGGCCCAGCGCCAACAGTATAAGTATGTGAGTCTGCAAATTATAAACGTGTGTGGGAGAATACAGCGGTTTGTTTTTTATATATAGATATATATATATAAACGTTAATGAAAAGCCAATGAAGCAGTCCAAGCCGGGACTCAGGCTGAGACCAAACCTCGATGGAGCGTTGGTTTGCATAGGTGGAAAAAGAAACTTTACGAAAATCCGACCTCGTCAAAGAACTGCTGGGTCCGACGCAAGATACATTTCAGCTCAGTCAGCTCCAGGAAGTTACGTTTCAATGCCTCCTGGTTTGTGTTGATTTCTTTGAGCTCGTTCTCCAATTTTTCGAAGGATGCCTGCAAAAGCAGTAGTGAAAGTGGTTCAAAGTCAGCCGGCTGCGGGCACGGAATTTTCCTGTGACCGACTGCAGATGATTTGCGCTTCACCTCAGAATTAATTTCGAATCCCACCCTGCGCAAAAGGTGAATAAAACACCCGTATGAAAGCTGCAACTGTATGCATGGTGTGAACTGCAGCACTGAAGCTGGAGTGTCTACACACGTGCACTCGCGCGAGAGTGTACAACATACAAGGGAATACTTGGTGGCAGAAGAAACTAAGCTCCAGCGTATCGCTTAACAGAGTTATCAATATCCCCAAGTGCATTTCTGCTCAAGGGTTGCTTTCACTGTTGGGATCTCAAACAGATTTATACAATGTAATAATAATACTAATAGTTGCATTTGATACAGCGCCTTATCACATCGTTGAGACGTCTCAAAGTGCTTCAGTCACCTTCTGGCACTTTCTAAGCGATTAAACCCATTCAAAAACACATGCTATTCGATCTTAACTAGTGTGAAGGAAATGCATTGAGAATTCCATGGATATAATTTGTCCAACATACCACTGAGCAACACGCAAGGAACAAACCCGCAAGAGGGTTGTGATGACGGGTCTGTCCCTTGATTAATATTGCATTGAATCAGTTATCCAAAATGATGATAAACGGTACAGCAACTAGCTCCAGGCTTGTAAGAACAACGAAAGCCCAAGACCAAATTATTTTCCGTAGCAAAGCTGAATAAACAAAAACTAACGTGGAATACTGCGCACAAATCTCATTGTGCTGCTTTGCTTTACCCTCCGATACTGGCCAGAAATAGGCACTTATACTGGCTCATTTGGCTGCACTCAATAGGTCAATAAGCTGTGGGTTCAAGCCCTACACTTAGATATGAGATCATATTCAATTATGGTGTCCAGCACTGGACACACTGTATACACACCCACACACTCACGCATTGTTGGAGCACTGCTAATCTAAGGTGCTTTCTGCCAGTTGTGTTGAGCAGGGAGTTTTTTGAAAGATAGGGAGTTTTCTGGGTGTCATTGTTTTGGGTTGTAATAAAACATGCAAAAGCCAGGGCTGTTTACCTCTAATTCAATCATGTCACGAGGGAAAGGCACCTCTGGGTTTTCTCCTGTGTCGAGAATGGTAATATTAGCTTTTCGGATTTCCTTTTCAACGAATCCTAAAACAAATATGAACGGATTAAAACATGAATGATTAAACGCGTTGGGAAAACGAAGGCATGCTGCCCAATTGAAAACATGGGACGCTTTATTCTATCTTAATTCGGTGGGTGTAATTTGTCCAGTATAGCCACTGAGCAACGCAATAATCTTGATTCCAGACCAGTTAGTAATGCCAATTCTGATATCCATTCACAGATACTGAGCAAGGACACCACTAGGCTCGGCTGCAATGCCTTCCCAGGGTCAAATAGTCCACCAACACAGTGATTCACTAGTTTGGCCCATTGGTTTGGCACCAGGTTATTTGCACAAGTGGTTCCGCATTCCAGAGGAATGAAAAGGGAACTGAACACCTTCGACTGAAAGTGGAGCAGAAAAATGTTGAGAGGAGACATCGCACAGTACAGCTTCGCTATAGCTCACTTCACGAAAAGTTCTACACCAGAGAAACAATCACTGCTTGCGGCAAAGTCTTTTGCACATAAGCCACAGAGACTTACGGAGTTTACGATCCATTTCTTCACAACGGCGGACTTCATTCACAAATTTGCGCTGAAACACATTGACATCTGGATTCAGCTGTCGAGAGGGGGAGGAGGAACAAAGTGAGCTTTAAAAAGGGGACTAGAATTTGTCACATTCAAAGATAACTCTTACTGTACAATCTGATTGCCCCTTCATGTGGGTTTTTAATACCTGTAAACTAGGAAATGTGTCAACACACCAGGAGGTTTTACCAGCTTATACCTCGTTTAGAACTTCTATTACCAGTACAATTAACAGACCAGTGATCAGACAGTACTGTCACGCAATAATAATATTAGACAAGATGTACTAGAAGAAACCATAGCTGGACACATAGATGCTCCAATTATTTGTGACCCAAAGAACTTTGATGAGGGTTCATGCCCTAGAGAGTGAGCTCCCAAACATACACACAGCATCAGACCGACAAAGCACAGGTTGTCAAGAAGTACAAGAGAAGCACAAAGCAGAAATGAGCTGTGGCCCCCAAATCTATATATGACCAGTCGGCTCAAGAAAATTGGCAGGATTTAGGAAACAAGTTACCAGTTTGTCTTGAGGTGGAGAATTATGCTTTGTACTAATACAACCGCGTGGTAATTCAGGCTTCAGATTTGGACTATTCCAACTGCCCACTGAAGGTAACCCACGGTGAAATGGAAACGAATAAGTCAACTTACATCTCGGAATTGCACCATTCCCAGCTCTCCCAGCTCACTGACACAGCAGTAGGCAGCTTCTGACTGCAGGAATAGTTGGGCCAGCGTCATCTCCTCGCTCCTGAACAGCTCCCCCATGGCGGAACAGAGCTGATGAAACCCGTGTCAGTCAAGAATCTTTTCTGGATCTAAAAGCATGAGGGAGGGAGGGAAGGATACAACACTTGTATTTGCATAAAGATTTACATTTGTAAAGCGTCCTTCACGTCGGGAGGACATCCCAAGGCGCTTATTTTAGTAATTCTTTGCAAGTCTTCTGTCATAAATTTACTCAGAAGCAGTCCAGCAGGGGTAATTTTTTTTTTAATTGCTTTACCACAGTGAGTCAAATGACTTGCAGGACATTGCAAAAGTGATTCCTGTCAGACCTGATCTTTATCTGATGCCTGGTAGAGTTGAAATATAACAACGCGTTTAAAACCACCAGGACATACAATTTTTGCCAATACTTCGTCGCCTGTACGGAAAATGCTATGGTTTATCTGCGCAGCAAACAGACGTATAATGTTTGGGATAGAATAACTGGGGGGGGGGGGGGGGGCTGCAATATTTTCCGTAAAGGCTCAGAAATCTGCAGTGTTCTGCAAGTCATTTGGCTCACTGTGGTGAAGCAATTGAAAAAAAAAACGTACCCCTGCTGGACTGTTTCTGAGTGAATGTATGACAGAAGACTCGCGAAGAATTATTAACACTTTCTCACTTTGCAAACGACTGCAACTTTGTCGGATGCTTAAACACATCACATTATAGAAGAAACCACTCCCCAAAATAATATCACATGATGCATAAGCCGTGTGGCAACAGAAACAGCATCTGCGCTGCAACACGATATTGATCAATACTTCAGAAGCGCGCCTTGACACAAGTGCTCCAGTCCCTCAAACCCTTATCCAACGACATTAATTTATCGCCTTGTCTCGCTGCTCGGTTGAATTCACCCCTTTTAAAAACTGCAACTTGCATTTATGAAGCATCCCTCACCCAAGGGAGCGTCTCAGAACGCTTGACAGTGGCGCAGCACAACGGGGAAGGGCGCGGAGCACAGAGCAGGGAGGATGGGGAGGAAGGTGACGCAAGGCAGGGTGGAAAGGGAAGATTTTTCAGTGAGCGCACATTGCTGCCGTCGAATAATTAAGAGAGAGAAAGCTTCACCCACGAGAAATTACACAGCCAATCCACTCGACGGTATATTCTGCAAAGCGCTTCGAGGCACAAGGACATTATCATTGAATCAGATACTATATTATCTTATATGGACATTATCATTATACTATACAACATATTCTGCATCACAATATAGATATCATCGTATTATACAATCCATTATGTTGTATAATACCGTTACATCATACAGACAACAGCGTTATATAATATCTCACCTTATATTTATACAGGCATTACCATTATATATCGCATTATACCCTGCAAAGCGCTTTGAGACGTCTCAACGACACGATAAGGCGCTAACTATATCAAATGCCAGGGTTATTATTATTATTATTATCATTAATTATTATTCTTATCATTACAAGGTCAAAACGGGGAGGGAGATGGGGAGACACACACACACACACATACGTACATATTGTGTGTGATACAGTAGGTGCAATGACAGCGAGGAAGGAGAGAGAGAGAAGAGAGGAGAGAGGGAGGGAGAGGAGAGGGGGAGAGAGGAGAGGGGAGAGAGGAGAGGGAGGAGAGAGAGGAGGGAAAAAGAGAGAGAGAGAGAGAGAGAGGTAGAAGGAGAGAGGAGAGGGAGGAGAGAGAATGAGAGAGAGATGGAGAGGGAAGGAGAGAGAGAATGAGAGAAGGAGAGAGAGGAGAGGGGAGGAGAGAGAGAATGAGAGAAGGAGAGAGAGGGAGAAGGAGAAAAGGAGAAAGAGGAGAGAGAGAATGAGAGAGAAGGAGAGGGAAGGAGAGAGAGAATGAGAGATGGAGAGAGAGGGAGAAGGAGAAAAGGAGAAAGAGAATGAGAGAGAGGAGAGGGAAGGAGAGAATGAGAGATGGAGAGAGAGGGAGAAGGAGAGGAGAGAGAGAATGAGAGAAGGAGATGGAGAGAGAGGGAGAGCAGGAGAAGGAGAGAAGGAGAAAGAGGAGAGCGAGAGAATGAGAGAGAGGAGAGAGAGAGAAGGAGAGAGAGAGAGAGAGAGAGGAGAGAGGGAGGAGAGGGTGAGGCCTACCTGTCACCTGCCGGTCAGCAAAGCCTCAGGTTGTCTCAGCACCGGCGCCCCAACCGCCGGCGGCTGCAGTCCGGGGGGAGGGGGGGACACCAACCCCCCCCCCACCCACTAACCCCCTCCCCCCTCATCTCTCCCCCCAACCCACCGGGGGGGGTACCCACCTGTCTCTCCTCACGGCCGCAAACCGCCGCCGCCGTCTTCAACCGTCGTCGACGTCGACGTCGCCTCCGCTACCGCCGCCGCCGCCACCACCACGTGACTCCTCTTCCTCACGTGATCACTCCCCGCCCCGCCCCCCCGCCCCCCCCCCCCGCGAGACTCCGCCCCCCCCGCGCGAGACTCCGCCCATCACAGGAGGGCCCGAGCAATCCGGGCTGCGGGTTTGTAGCCCAAAGCCGCCCGCGCGATAGCCCCGAAAAGTAGCCCGATGTTGCCATGATGATAAAGATGATAATAATAATAATAATAATAATAATAATAATCCTCGCATTTGATATAGCGCTTTTCACGTCGGGAGGACGTCCCAAAGCGCTTCACAGAACACACTGTAAAGTGAATTGACTGTATATTTGTGGGCGAACGCGGCGGCCGATTGCACACAGCAATGTCCCACAAACAGTCGTAGATTGAAAATGACCAATTTATTATTGTTTTTGGTTTTGGAGGGATTATTATTAGGCTCTGTGTGGAGTAAGGAAACTTGCCCAAGGTTTCGCCCTCTGCCTGGAATTGAACTCAGGTCTCTCGCTCGCAAAGCGAGTGCTCTAACCACTGAGCCACAGGACTCCACGTCCCTGATGATGTTGATATTAATAATAATAATAATAATCCCTTGCATTTGACCCAGCGCCTGATCACGTCATCGAGAGACGTCTCAAAGCGCTTCGCGGGATACACTGTAAAGTGAACTGACTGTGTATTATTTGTGGGCGAAACGCGGCGGCCGATTGCGCGCGGCAGCGTCCCCCCGCAAACACCGTCGTGGATTGAAGTGACCGATTTATTATTTTTTTTCTCTTGAGGGATTATTATTAAGCGTGTGATAATAATAATAATAACAACAACAATAATAATAATCCTCGAATTTGATATAGCGCTTTTCACATCTTCTGGACCTCTCAAAGCGCTTCACAGAATAGACTGTAAAGTGCATTGACTCTATATTTGAGGGCGATGTAGTAATCGTTATATTATATATGAAATTATGATATTCTATATCACATAATAACAGTAATAATAATAAACCTTGCACTTGTTTGACACACCACCTTATCACGTCTTCGAGATGTCTCAGAGCACTTCACCGACTACGGGTGTATCGCAAAGCAGATTGACTGTGTATTTTGTGGGCGGAACAAGGCAATATAGTGATAATACGGTTTGATATAGCGCCTTATCGGGTCTTGGAGACCTCTCAAAGTACTGTGTGGGATTTTACTGCAAAGTGTAGTGACCGTGTTCCGTAGGCGAACGCAGCAATGTCAACTCAGTATTGGAATCCATGGCCAGGCTGGTCTGGGACAGAGAGACTGAGCGTATGCGTCAGCTCGCAGGTTGCCCGCCCTGATACATAGCACAGAGAAAAGATGGTGTGCCTCAAAACAACCTGCTTTTTCTTTACGTACTGCACTGTCCCACTTCAGTTCAACGAGGTCTAAGCCTTTGAAAGTAGAAAGTTACAGTGTCTGTTTCTCGTAACCCCCTCAACGAGCGACGACAACGCACGAGATTTACACGGCGCCTTTCACGTCGGGAGGACGTCCCCAGGTGGTGGGACACTCGGGGATTTGGACCCGAGCTGGGGGTTGGGGATCAGGAAGGGTGGAGGGCAGGGAGGGTGGGGGGGTAGGAAGGTGACCGAAGGCGCGGTCAACGAGCAGGGTCTTGAGACGTGCCTTGAAGGAGGCGAGGGAGGGAACAAGGCGAAGGGACTGGCGGACGGAGTCGCAAAGAGTGAGGGGTAGAGAGGCTGAATGCCCGACCGCTGCTGGGGCCGGGGGAGGACGTAGAGCAGCCCGAAGCCTCAAGAACTTTGCGGCAAATGTTTTTTCTACGCAGTTAAGTCAGGGTTTTGAGTAGCGGTGATGTTCTCCCCACCTCATTGTTATGTGAGCCCTGCTCAGTACTCCTTTGGCATAAGCATACAGAATTTGACACTGGAGCTATAATTAACTGAGAATTATATTTAGAAGCGCAACCACTTTTATTTCGCGCCGTGCGCTGTCGGGGGTGAGACGTCTCGTTTCAAAACAGTGAAGCCCCTAGCAACAATAAACCAGCCAATGTCAAGGAATATGTTGGCAATTCTAAATGACTACCTGGTCCATTATCACAAAAAATATCCAGATTGACATGAGCAGAGAGGTGTGTTAGCACCGCCTTATGGTCGAAGAGAGAACCAGCACATTTTCTTGACTTAACCTCTTTATTAACACTTAACGATAGTAATCTTTGCGTTTGATATCTTGTCATTGTCGTTGAGTGTTTCGCAGGGTTCGACTGTGAGGCGGTGTGACGACTGTGTATTTTGTGTGTGTTACGTGTTACCAGGCTTGCGTGCGCGTGTGATTAGCGTGGCGAAGCTACGTGACAGACAGGCCAACTAACGAGCAGGAAGGCGCTTCCGTCCTTGATCAATGAATCAACAGCAGCAGGATGTGGGGAAAGCAGGTTTTTCACAGGAAACCAGAAGCTAAAAGCGAAAAACATCCAACAAAAAAAATCAGCCGCCAAGTAAGCGACTGATCGAATTTATCTGCGGATTGTTGGACAGGACACCAGGAGACAAGATGATCCGCAGCCAGTGACGTGCCGTACACCACAGTACGCCGAGAAGCAGATTAATCCGAATTTGAGGGTAAACTTGGACATCCAGTAACACAACATGGAAGAGTTAAAATTAAATTGAGAGAAACACATCAAAACAGTGCGAGTCTCCGATTGGAAAACGCCTACAGGGTGCGCTGTTGTCAACGCCATCAACGACACTGAGGCGAGAATTCCTCACTGGAGGGCAGGGCTGACGGTCAGCAAACGGAAGTCCACGGGTCACTCCCTCCATTCACAAACTTTGCGCCAATGTCACACCGGCTCGGGAGCGAGCAAGGAGGTTGCTGACCCGAAGCCGGTCGAGTTTCCTGCAGGCCGTCATGTTCTGTACGGCGCCCAGGGTCCGCATCCCGCGCGATAAAATCTCCACCAACGCTTCCCCCCCCCTAACACGTTCTCCGGGGACACTGCACTCCTGAAGGGCACTGTATAAACACAAGTCGTTGTGGTTGTCGTTGTGGTTGTAGCCTCCGATCAACCCCCAAAGTCTAGACTTGGGCTTGAACCCACCGGTTTCTGATTCCCCCCCCAACCCCTTCCCAAAAATAACTCAAGCGCTTAGCAACTGAGCCAGGGCTGACTCCTTTCGACTTAGACCAACCCTGGAGGGAATTGATTGATTGGGAATTGGGGCTCAATGAGCGGAGAGGACTTTGTTAACAACAATCCCTCGCGTCCGATCCAGCGCCCCATCCCGTCGTCGAGACGTTCTCAAAGGGCTTCACCGGAATACACTGTAAAAGCGGAGTGACCGTGCGGTTTGCGGGCAAAAAAAGGCGGCAGCCCAAATTGCTCACAGCAGCTTTGCTCGGAGAGCCGGATTGAACGGCTGTGCTGAAACGTGACATTCTCTGCCAACGGAAAGCGCTTAGCAAGTAGTTTTGGTACTACAATGAGCACTCGGCTTGCCCGCTGTGCAAACAGTTGTGCGCGGCGATCTGTGTGCCCTGCTTTACAGCTGCCTCGCTGGCCATCAGCTCTGGTCAGTGTCCTCAACGCGGCGCAATCGAGCTCAGTGGCCCTTGTTTGCAGGCATTCCTTCCTAAGTTACGTTGTTTTCGAGCGTGCATTCCACCACAGATGTGCCTGAGCCTGCGCTATGCATTTCCCGGTTGCTTCCTAACTATTCTAATCATTCAGGGGAGGGTGGGGAAGCAAGGCAATCTGGCAGTCCAGCCCCACACAGCTAGGTGGAGTCAGACCATGCCCTTTTAAGTAAGCTTGTGTGTGTGTGTAAAAAAAAATTGGATGTCTCTTGAGCAGCTGTGTAACTGGAACAAGAGCACACGCATATAGTCTCTCCCCCTCTCGCGCTCACTCTCTCCCTGGCGCTCTCTCTCTCTCTCTCTCTCTCTGTGTCTGTCTGCCTGTCTCTGTACAGTACTGGCTTGCATCCCAGTGCACAGAGTTTGCGGATCAGTCGTTATTTATATCTCGCTCCGCGCTCTCTCTAGCTATGGCCGAGTCCTTGAGGAACGAAGAGCTGGAAAGCGCCGAGCTGCTGAAGGAGGAAGAGGAGGAGGAGGAGGACGAGGAAGCTCACAATGAGAGCCCCAAGTACGCGGAGCAGGGCAAGATCAACGGAGTCCTGGTGCTCACCCTCCTGGACAAGGTGGTGGGGATGGTGGACCAGATCCAGAGCAGCCAGCAGCAGCTGGAGCGCAGGCACCTGGAGATGGAGACGGCCGTCTTTCACATCCAGAACGAGCTGACCAAACTCAACAAGTCCCACTCCACCACCAGCAACGAGGTCAGCAAGATGCTGGAGAAGCTGCGCAAGGTCAGTGTCAACGTCAAGACCATCAAACACAACATGGAGAAGCAGGGGACCCAGATCAGGAAGCTGGAGGCCAACGAAGCCACCTTATTGAAGCGCAACAACTTCAAAGTGATGATCTACCAGGTGAGGACACTCTCGCTCTCTGGCTCTCTACCTCTTTCTCTGTCCCGCGCTCTCGTCGCGGTGGTTTATTACGATATCGCCTCTCGGCCCGGCTCGGCTCGGCTCGGCTCAGCCAGCGTGAGTTTAGTTTAAGGAGCTTAAGCTCCCGGTTAAAAAAAAAGTGTCGTGTTTCCAAGGAAGCTCGGCTTACAGGGACGGATAAAGTGCTTCTTCTGTATCGGGCATCATTTCTTTCCTATTCCTTTTCCTTTCAAGGTCTTCTCTGTCCCTTGCTCTCTCTCTCTCTCTCTCTCTCTCGCTCTCTCTCTCTTCCCGCTATACTCCACCCGTTAATGTTTGATAGAAGTCCAGGGTGGAGGGGGTGTGGGGGAATGGTGGGGCGGGGGGGGGGGGTGAGAGAGACGGAGAAGGGGGGGGTGGGGTGGTGGGGGGGGTGGAAATGGTTCTTTTTGCTGTGACCGAGAAACAATGCAACGTGCGAGTGACCCGAGCCACACCGGTCTGCCATTTGCAAGCTGGTCGTTTCTTAACAGGTGAGAGACCGCGATAAGAATTTGGTGAGCTTCGGTCGCGCTGGCACGTGTCTCTGGTTGTATCCGTGAGCGTTCACCGTGAGACCCAATGTCCCCCCCTCCCATCACCAGCACCAGCACCAGCCCAAGCTCTCGCAACTCCACGGGATGCTTTTTTTTGTCCTGTGAGCGTGCAGGATTGTAGAGCTTCACAGCGCCGGAGAGGGTTTGGCTTTTTAGTGGCTCTCTGAGAGAGTAGTCTTACCTCTTCGATCGTGCTTACGGTCACCTCTTCCGCACCCCCTCAGCCACCCCTGCCCTCCCTTGCTCAGTGTCCAACCGCTTCCAAGCGACAGGCTACATCTCGCTCACAAAAATACACACCAAATACACTCGATTCACTTTCGCAGCATATTCCGGGAAGCGCTTTGAGAACAACAACAACAACAAGATTCCATTTATTGAGGACGTCCCAAGGCGCTGCACAGTTGGGTCAGGACCCGAGCATTGGGGGGGAAATGGTCAGGGTGAGGGGAGGGAAGGGAGGGAGCGAGGAGGGGGTAGAGAGTCGAGAGGGGAGCTGAAGGCACGGAACGTCTCAAATGTGTGACAAGGCGCTATATCAAATGCAAGGGTCATCATTATTATTGCCGCGTCAATGCAAATAGATGTTGTTACTACGAAGTGCAGTGACTGCATTTGTAGGAAAACGCAACACCCGCACAGTGAGTGACTCCCTCTCTCTGTGCGTGTGTTCATTTTAAATTAATGCAGATTAATGTGGAATATCGACAGGAATAAACTAGGTTGTCACACGCTCACAGTCACCTGATGATTTCCCCCCCCCCACCCCTTGCCTAAATCACAGAGTGTGCATTGTGTAATGGATGTAAAATGCTGAACACATTCACGCGTTCTTCTGAACCAACTGCTATTTTGTGCTGAACCGAGCAACGACTCCCACAGTTCAATTTCACCATAGATACAACAATAAATGTAAAATAATCCTCGCATTTGATACAGCGCCTTATCTCGTCTTCGAGACGTCTCAAAGCGCTTTCTCAGAATATACCGCAATTGACCGTGTGTTTTGTGGGCGGAACGCGGCAGCCGATTGCGTCCCCACAAGCAGTCGTGGATTGAAGTGACCGATTTTTTATTTTTTTTTGGGAAGGGATTGCGAAGGGGAAGGGGAATTGAAGAATTTTCACACAGGGAAGGTTATGGGAGGGTGGGGGGAGGGGGTGGGGAATAAGCCCGTGCATATTTTCTCAATCCGTTAGCACTTGCATGCCAATGTGTGACACGGCTCTGGATTGTTTGCACGAGGCTGCTTGCCGAGGCTTGACTCATATGAGGGAGGTGGAGTGGAGATAGGAATGCTTTATGCAGGGACTGGGATACAGGTTAAAGTTTGGTAAATAAACATTCACTGGCGACTGGGAGATTCTCGTTCCAGAGGTGGTGGAAATAATATACGCAGGAGACTCAATAAAGCAGGTAGTAGCTTAAGAGAGGACACTTAGAAACACCCATTCCTTCTTCATTCCTTCCTTCCCCCCTTTCCTTCACTCCCCCTTTCCCTGCTCCCCCCACTCTCTCTCCCTCCCTTCCTCACACACACACTCACCCTCTCGCCGGAGGTGTCGGAGTGTGCCGTCCTTCGGATGAGACATTAAACCGAGCTGTGTCCCTCGTATAGCAACCTTTCCGACGCGAAGGGCACTACACAGGGGTTATTTGTCGTCGTCGTTGTTGTCTATGTCTGTTCAGGTGGACGTTAAAGATCCCACGGCGCTACTTGAAAGGAGAAGGGAGTTTCTCTCTCGCTCTTTCCTTCTTTCTCTCTCTCTCTCTCCCAGTGTCCTGGCCGATAATTCCCCCCCAACCCCTCAAATAAAATGGGTCACTCACTTCACAGCTGCTCGTGTGGGCGTTGCTGTGCACAACTTGAGCAGCGGGCAAGAGTACAGCCACGTTGGGCCAAATGGCCTCTTTCTGTGTTGAAAAAAGTTGTGGGATAAGTTCGTTGACCAAAGGTCCATCCGGTTCGCCTTCGAACCATCCTGGCAGTGGTCTGCACACATCGTGACCCAAACTGTACCCTGTTTCCCCAGATATTAATAACATAAGAGTTTGCTAAGCCAAAGACAATGCAACAAATTGACATCTGATGGCACCTTTCACTCTTTCGTTGGAGAGAATGTCTCAAAGGGCTAGACCATTCTGGGTGGGCATCTGAGCTGGGGTTGAGAGGTCAGGGAGTGGAGGTGGGGGGGGGGGGGGGAAGGCGGCGTGGGGGGAGGGTGGCGAATAGGATGGGGTTGGGGGACCGAAATCTCGGTCAAAAAGGTATGTTTTTTGAACAAGGCATCAAAGAGTGGGGGCAAAAGCAAATGTAAGGAGCGAGAGGGTGAGTGTGTGTGTGAGGAAGGGAGGGAGAGAGAGAGAGGGGGGAGGAGGGAAAGGGGGTAAGGAAGGAATGAGGAAGGAATGGGTGTTTCTAAGTGACCTCTCTAAGATATTCGCTGCTTTATTGAGTCTCCTGCGTATATTGTTTCCTCAGACTCTCGGAGGCTGGTACAGATTGGCCTCCTGATAATTGTGCGGCTCGTCCGTCCAAACATAACTCTGAGCTACGTGTAAAATATTCCACTGATCATTCACACTCACTCCCATTGTGCACAGATTCCGATCCAAGCAAAACAGCAAATGCTCGGCAGGTTCTGCAAACATTTACCAGGTTCCAATTACAATCCCCGTTCCAAGTCCGCTGTAGTTTCCAATGGATGTGGGGGAAGGTCCCACCACAGGGTTTTTGGTGCTGTGTCCGTTTCCAAGTGACCCCGTTCGTAACTGGCTCTCTGATCTCACCGCTCGGAGGCTCGGCTCCTGGCATCTCCGGTTCTCCGTGAACGCAGCGAGGTATCAGTTTGCGTTGTCCTCTCCGCTGTCGGAGGTGCCGACTTTCAGATGAGGTCCCGTCTGTGCCTGTTCTGATGGGCGCTATTCAAAAAGAGAAGAGATATTTTCTCTTCTTCCTCCCTCCCCTCCCTGTCTCCCTCCCTCCCTCCGTCCTTCCCTCCCTCCTTCACTCTCTCCTTCACTCCATCCCTCCTTTCCTCCATCTCCCTCCCATCGGGCAAACCTTCCCTCTCTTAATGCCTCTCTTCCAAAGAGTTGGCCAAAATCAGGAATTCACTCTCTGATCTCGCTCAGCGGTTTTTTTTTGGAGAGAATGATTAATGGATCATTAAATAATGGATCCCACACTACAAATAGTGGCATGGACTAGCTGGGAGGACTGGATTGTTCCTGTGCGGTAACAGTCTATGTATTTAATAATAATAATAATCGTTGCATTTGATATAGCGCCTCATCACGTCTTCAAGACGTCTCAAAGCGCTTCACGGAATAGACTGTAAAGTGAATGTAAAATGACTGTATGTTTTGCGGGCGGAAAAATAAATATATTTCCACGTATCGACCTAAAGAAGTGTTTGGTGTGCTCTGAGGAGATCAAGTCGAAGTTGGAATGGCCGCGTTTGTACAGCATTAGGACATCCAGAGGCTGTGTTGACAGACTGACCTGGACTCTCACCCTCACACCTCCTGAGGGTCACTTCCCGACCCTGTGACTGAGTGTGTGTGTCCCATCTTGGGATCTCCTCGCTTTGGCTCCACCGCAGAATACCATCAACGTGGGAGGTTGGGCTGTCAGCTCCCCAGCCCTCCCACTTCGAGGCAAGTATTCTCGGGGGCTGGGAGTTTCCACCTGGGTCTACAGTTACACCATTGGTGTAACATTTCAAAGAGTCCAGAGTTTGGTTAAACCCTTCAGTACTGCCTTAATTTTGAAACCAGTTTTCAGTAAGTTTTTTTAAAAAAAAGATTTGCTGAAAAACAGCTTCGAAGTTAGGCTACGACGGAATGCTTAAACTAAGCGCTCGGAGACTCTGCGCCAGGTGAAGGGCGCTGTGTAAATGCAAATTGTTGTCGGCGTTGAATTTAACAAGTTCTGGATGCTTTAAGATCCCGAGGAAGTAGTGTGAATCTTGGCGAAGAGGTGGGTTTTAAAGCTGGGACTCGAAGACAAACAGAGAGGGGTTAGATGGACAGGTAAAGGGAACGCGTACCAGAGGTTAGGAGATGTGGTAGTTTAAGGCTCGACCAGCGATGGGATGCAGAGAGAGTGGGGGGGGGGCGCGGGCTTTGGGGAGCAGAGGAATAATTATTATTATTATAACAATAAGGTAGGAGACGATCAGACAGAGATAAAGAGTACTGGGCAAAAGTGACAGGTAAGGGTGAGGACCATGATATGAAATGGATCTGCAGGGAGGCAGTGGAGCTTGGCTCAAATTCAACTGATAAAAGATGACGTGGGTTACAGAAAAACAGGAGAAGCTTTGAGACTCAACACATGGCTCTTTGGGATAGTGCCTGAAAAGCCAGAGATTCCTTGCTTTGTATTGTCTTTGGATGTGG